AGAAACATAAATATATGTGCATTGAACTGTATTGCAATGACATTTATAGTTCTTATAAATGGCAGAGTTTAGTGCAATATATTTTTTTTTATCTAATTTTGTTAACACAAAAGCATATCTTGGCACAAACTTTGAAACTATGTCGGGCCTCATTCTCTTACATATGTAACAATGATAGTGTTTTATTTAATGTAATGTTGACGGATTTAGAAAATGAAATGTTCATGGTTCTGGCAATATAAAACAAAAAAACGTCTATTGTTTTGGTTGGTGTTTTAATATATATGATGTCATTTTATCTACATAATTCAGTATTAGTCATGTTAATTCATTAATCATATATGTAAAATATCAGTTTATTTGGCCCCTTATCTTCAGATGTGTCAAATGTTTCTGAATTACCTGTCCCTATGTTGTATTTGGCCAAATAAACACCCTAGTTCTACTGCCAAGAAAATTATTGGGGGATAAATTAAATGAGGATTTTATTCAAAGGATATTTTCAAGCAAGGGAAAAAAATTCAAAAAACAAAAAACAAAATAAGTTTATTGTTATAGTGATAATTGTTAAATGGCATTCCATCAAATATATGTACATGTATTTGCTTTTCTTAACTGATACCTAAATCTTAGAAAATGGCATTAATTTAGAATGAAAACGGCTTTAAGCACAGTCTTTGTTTGGAATTACTGTACTTTTTCTGTTATTCTTTTCAAGAAAATATAATCTTCGGTATGTGTTTTGTATGAAGAGAGTGATTGTACATAATGTTCTTTTTAGTAGAACACTTCGTAGGAGAAAAATTTGAGTCGCAACATCACATTTCATTGGCATGCGTCATCGTCATAATAAATCAACAGAAAACTGGCATTAATTCACAAATGCAATGCAATTATTTTTGCATACCAAATTCTGGTTGAATTTTCTCCGTCTTTCTAACATGTGTACTACATTTGTCGTGTTTGACTTCCACTGACAGATCATATGAAAATGAATTAAATTGTTGGTGCAATCAAGTAATATTTTTTGTGCTTTGATATGCATTTCAAACTTAGAAAAAAAATTACTATTGAAAAGAGTTGGAAACATAGATGTTTAAAGAATGTTTCAAAAGTTATAAAACTGAAGCTTTCTCATCTTGAGGCTGTCTTAACAACAAATTTAATCTTTATGCAGTTTAATATATCAGTCACTTTATTTTAGATGTAAATATATTTATATCCAACTTCCTGTATATAACCACACTCATCACAGCTATAACTCCCACCCCCCACCCCCCAAGTATGCACCCATTCTTTCTTAATTTGCTAAGCGCCCTTCTAGATATTTATTACAGTTATTACAACGAATGTGGTTTGTCAATGTCAGTGATTGTATAATGGTTTGTTTGTAACTGTTAGAAGTATTTGATCAATGATTAAATGTAGAAATTTTAGGCCTAATCACTTGAGAAAAGTTTCTCTCACTTTTTCCAGGAAAGTGTCTTGAACAAGGATGATATTTCACTTAAAAAAAAAGACTTGTTTGTTCTTATCGTGAAATTTAGCTCATTACCTCCAGGGCTCTATCTTAAGATCCTAATATAAATCATTAATACAGGGATTTAGCCTCAGTAAAAACTTTGTAGAGTGAAAGACTGGATATCATCATATTCATCTTGTCAGTTAAGTCTTTATTCCCTAACCACTGAAGTAGCCCCAGGTGGACAAAGTCATCTTGTAACACACACTACGATGCTGATGTAGGTCAAGGTGTTAAACCTAATTAGTCTAAGTTGTCATATGTCACTAATTACACCTGCAAGTTACACACCTTTCAAAGGAATGATTCATCCTTCCCGCCCTAAAATAAAACAAATTACAAAAATAAAAAAAATAGATATCCTTATTGTATTTAAGATGTTGGTAAAAGATTACCTTTATGGAAATTTGAAAATTCCTGATTTTTTTTTTTATATATTTGAGGAAAAACATTTTTTGAGAAAGGCTTTTTTTGTTGTACAGCTTTGCAAATCTGATGCAGGAGACTTTTTAAAGTACAACTACACTAGGCTGTGTAGATATTACATGTCCATTGCTGTATTGATACAGTATATTTATCATCAGTCGTTGAATCGGCTGCTCTCAATTGGCAATCATAATGCCTGTGAATGCTGACTGTAGGTAGTTCAATGCTTTTCTTTCTCATAAAAACATTTTCAGGAATCATATAACATGACTTTTAAGATTCATAGAGCTATGAATGCCATCAGATTTTGTTAAAACTATATATACCAATGTATTACAAATGTGTTATACAGATTGCATTAAATAGAAAGCTTGCCTAGTCTAAAGAATTTCTCTTTGGCTTTATCAGTTGAGCATATGACTATAAACCAGAGGTTTGTGGTTAAATTCCCGATGAAGACATTGAAATACATATATGGTAAACATACGTTAATGTATATATGCTGATTGCTGAGAGCTTTGATAAATACACATTATAGCAAAAACCAAAATTTTTCATATACCAAGGAATTCCAAACTCAAAGTTTTCCTAAATGGTTAAACACCAACAACTTTAAATATGTTCACCAAGTATAGTATAGTAAGATTTTATCATGATTTAAATGCAATTTTACTACAAGGTTCTACGGAGATGGTGGAATGACATTTCAGTTTGATGACATCACACCAATATAACATGTTCACCAGAAAATCATCCGATCATCTCTTCAATAACGTACCTTTATGTATGATCACCTGATTGGAGAAGACTTGTGAATTGGGGCATGCACTCCCTGAACCCTGTCAGCCTGAATTATTTACCAGCTTTAACAAAGTATTCTATGCCTCTTTGAGTGTTGGATTATTTTCTACACAATTGTATTTGTGTGTTTCGATATGTTTATGAAATCACTTTGACTGCATCCGTGCATGAGTGTTTGCATGTATCCATGATAACAGTATGCATTACATACATTACACCTCTCACAAAGGAAAAGTCATACTTAAGGTTGCGAATCACTTGCTACCACAGTGCTATGAACACCCAACCATTTAATAAATAATCATGTTCACATGACCGTGACAGGGACTGTGTACAGTGGACTGTAACAACCTATAAGAAAAGAGGAGACAATCAATAAACTAGTAATGATGAAAGTCAATGGTTATGATAAAATGGTCAATTTTCATCATGAAATAAACATGTGATTCACACAAATGCCATAACAAATCCTTGATTTTCACATGTTTCACATAGTTGACAGCGTGGTATTAGAATTTCCTTATCTCAGAAATGTGAAACATCTTCCTCTTTTTCTTGAAAAGTATGCAATCTCCAGGAGCTAAATTGCGTATTTCCTTGATAACAAAACATTCAGATATACCATTCCTTGAAAGATATGCAGTGGAAATACTTGAATTGTTTTGGATGGAAATGCCTGTTGTATGGAAATGGTTTTAGTATCCTGTATCTTTCAAATTATTTCATTCTGATCAGAATGTACAGCTTACTGTTGTTTTCCTGTTTTCTCAAACTGTGGAACAAATTTTCCACTTTCATCAATTTAACCAGGATTTATATCTCTAATTTTCCTAATCGTCTCAGAACATTTCCTTTTGAAATATCAATAGTGTCCATATCATAATTTGCCGAGTTTTTGGGCAAATGTCCACAAAATATCTTCAAAGGAAAACAATCTGTGTGTTTGTTATAATGGATAATGAGACTGATGTATACTGTCAAGAGTTCCTTGGTGTAGTGATATTTTAGTGCTACCCATATTGGTCTGTCATGCATTTTTGCAGCACATCTCATTCTCAATCAGTGTCATATCTTGAGGACATAACAACATTTAACACTACTATAAGTCACCTGCTGAAATTTATCAGAAAATGATGCTTATGTGCATGAGAGCCAGGGTATTTCAGGTCTTACAGATGTTGTCTTGTCTAAATAAAAGCTGCGGGAATAAAAAAAATGAGGGAATAAACTTGCACTCTCAAACTATCTGTCAAATTCTGAATTGGTGAAGAATTAATGCCTAGTACAAACTATAGGCTTGTAGTGGTCTATTGTTTTATACAGTATAATGTTGATATAATACATTTCTATCAAGGCAGTTTTTCATATTCAGAATACATGTGTAATAGGAAGGAGTAATGAAAAACACCCTGCCACCACAGGGGTTTTTGATTAGCGAGGATTCCCTTTCATGCTGGACACTCTACTGCTTGACTGAAGGAAATTTCCACTAGCTGAGACTAGTTAGGTGACATGTACTCTCAACTTCTACACTACTTCCTCCTTCACAAAATCTTTGACCCTGAAGACAACAACGAACCAGGTTCAATATCACCAAGGAAGCGCCTTAATTTCCTATAGCTCCTACCCTTAGAGTGGTCAGGGCACCAAACCTGTAATAGAAAGGAGTAATGAAAAACACAATTCCACCATTGGGGTTCAAACTAGCGAACCTTCTATCTCTAGCAGGACAATATTGCTCGACTACAGGGAACTTCCCACTAGCTGATGCTAATAAGGTGGCCTGTACACTCACTTTTACTCAACCAACACTTCTACAAATTAAGATCTGGAATGACAAGCTACCAGATTGTGTAGTGAAAATCCTTATTTAATGATCCTTGTTAATAAACTGCTGTGTATAGGCATATTTTTGTGATGTGAATTTCTTTCCCTCAAAAGACTGCAATATGGACATTTTGCAATTTTTGCAATTCATTTTTTGTGATTTTATCCTCTCAGAAATTTGAAAGGCTTCTTTAGAAAACATTGAATATTTTAGAATGGACATAGTTTACATATACAACAACCAACCACTAATTGTCCAGTCATCCAAAGATAAGAGATTTCCTAACAACTTCTATTTATTCATTTATTCCCGATATATATGATGTTTTCTGTTTTGTTTCAGATTATTTTAACTGATCAGATACATCAGTGCCTGTATATCTCAGAAGATGAAGGAAAGACTTGGATCACATCACAGATCGGATTTGAACCAGAGAAATTGTATATGCATCCGACCCTGGAAAATTGGGTCTTGGGATACACAATTATGTCCTTTAAGGTCGGTTAAAAAAATATGGTCAAGACCATTTGAAAAAAAAATATATATAAATATATGTCAAGGTATAAATGATATTAGTTTAATACAGTGGATTCATGGTACTGTATTTTCAATACATAGAATTTCTACAGAGTCCTTATAGAGTAGTGACTGATGTATAGATAAAACTACAGGAGAGATACAAAGCTTTGGGTCATAAACGGCATTTGTGAAATTGATTAGACATGCAGAAATGTGTGTAATTATGTACATATATGTATAACTATCTGTCAGGTAGGATGTATTATATTATGTAGATAATTTTCAAAAACGTTAATTAACTGTTTTGTTCATTTATTTTTATGTAATACAATTTAATGATCAGTAAATAATCTTGTCCATTTTATCATTAAGTCACAGAAATCAGAGTGAGATTTAATGAAATTAGACAGGCATTAGATATGTGGAAAAAATATATTTACAATGATATCTTTAAAAGTGAATATTCAAAATTTCAAGTATGTAGTTGATTTTTTGTAATGTACCAGTAGCATATTTATAAACATTCAAGGGAGATAACTCATGTAAAGTTTTTACTCTTCTAAATGACATATTCCCACAAGTCAATGTAATTTATTCTGCTTTGGTTTATAGTTATACGTTTCATCTGACCTAGGAAAAACCTGGACAGTTTTAAAGGAAGATGTAGCGATGCAGATTTACTGGTAATTATCTTTGCATTATGTTGAATATTCAAATTATACCAAAAAACACGATGTGATTTAGCCATGGGGATTGTTCATTCTCATTCTCAATCATCAGTTGAGATGTTTAGCTCTGAGAATTTTAATTGCTTTTAAAAATTTCATTCATTGGAAATTCTAAAAAAAATTTTTTTATATTTTCGACATAAGAATAATTACTGTATGCACATTAAAATACAGTTGACTTGTATCTAGTGTGGTGTAAAAATGTTCATGTCCTATTTATTATCCAATACCTTGAATCTGTTTAAAAGTTATGAATATTTTTTGCTTGATGTATTATTCAAATTTTATAAAGATGAATTAAACAGAGATTAATTAGGGATTTGAAGGAAATATATTTTTTTGTCCAAATAGGAGAAAATGTCATTAGGAAGCCTAGAAAGCAAAAAATTATCAAATGTTGATAGATTGAGTTGTGAAAAAGCACTTTATAAGTACTTAACTTCAGTGAATCTTCCACTTCATTGTTTGTACATGAGATTTACTGGTGATTCATGAATTAAAAGAAGAATTAATGTGAAACAAAAAAAGAAAGAGAGAAATACCAAAAGAGATAAATAAACAGGTTTTATCGTATTAATTGTTACAAATGCCCCCTCCTCCTCCTTTTCTCATTGATTTCCTCTCTGACGACATCACAGATATGATCACAATACACTTTTTTACTGAGTTTCATGTTTGTATGTTTGTAAAATTGACTGAGTAATGGAGAGTTCAATTTTCTTTGATCGCCGAGGTACTGCACATTGTGTATCACACTTGAGGGGAGAGTATTCAATTATATAACGTAAAATATTAAATGAAGGAGGTGATATCAAAAAATGTGTACTCAATATGATTACAGTAGATTAATATACAATGTTTCAGTTCCATAAAAGAAAAATTACCAAGTTATAAATTCACTCTAGTGAGGAGCTTGGCATGTGTTAAATGTTTTTATAAAAATACCCTGGATTATCGTGATGTGACTTCAAACGCTATTATGACAGACATACATATAACACAGAAGCTTCACTGGTTATATATATTCTTCATCACACAATATTATACAAAAGTCAGGTAATTACGATCTCCATGAGTGAAGTTTTCTTTCATGTCCTACTGTCACATCATGTGTATGCCAGCAGAGCTGACACAAATTGAGGCCCCAACTCTGTATTGTAAGTGATCAGTATTCAGAGCACAGAATGTAGGCAAGTGTACTTTGTCAAAGAGTAAGAGTCTTTCACTACTCACTTTTGTAAGATAATTGCACAAAGTCTATCCTTATTATTACGAATAAGTAATTATATAATCACAAGGCTCACAGGTATGCTTTTTACGATAATAAATCTGTAGTCAAAAGACCCTATGCAGTCTCTGCATACTAATATTTCAACATTAACTTCTTCCAATATACAAGCAAACAAGTGTACAAGCCTTCATTCTGATACACAGTGCGAAAGAGAATAAAATACATACTGTCATTTCTTAACAGTCGAAAATTATTGTTTCAAATGATCATCATATATAATCGACATATTTTCTATGCTCCACACATTTTTTTTACCAATCAATAATTTCCCTTCTTGCTAATCATGTTTTTAAACACTTCGTCCTGACTTTGGAAGATGTTGGATGGTTTGTATGAATATAGAGAGACGTGAATGATCTCATTGATTTTTGTTGCTCATAAAATTTTTGGTACCAGATAAATCCCGACTGTCAGTTATCACAACCACACAAAATCTTTATTCTTCCCACAAAAAGGAGAGAAAGAAAAAAAATGGAAAATCTTGTACCTACATAATGCATGCTCTCCCCACATTGGATCTCAAATTTTCTAATTTATGTGCAAGGTTTTATGGTAGCAAAACAAACCATATATATCCTGTTATGAAGATTGTTCTTGGCTCAATAGCCGATACCAATGCCAGTGACAATCTGTTGATTTATAATTTTGAATCATTTCCGTGAATTGTAAATTTTGTAAACATTTCACTGAATTTATGGAAAATGTATTAGAAATTTAAAATTTGGCCAAGTCATCTTCTGTAAAAGTGTTTGATTGTTTTGCATGTGATGGATCATTTCACACTTTTAAAATATGTATAATACATGTATCAACATTTTTAAACTTTCAGTAATTTTAGTGTTTGTATTGTTACTTATTTTGAGGTTGCATTGTGTGTCAGTGTGATTGAGCAATTCATATTAGTTGTACTACATGATTCATAAATACAATTCAAATAAGATTGAAATATCTTTAAAAATAGCTTTTTAGATGAGATTTATGAATAATTTTTGAAAGAAAGGAATATTTGTATCATAGCTAAATTTTAATGATGTTTTGAAATTTTCATAGTTTTAAGTTACTGTAAAATGACATATTTTCATTGGACTCAAATTATGTGATTTAGAAATGATGTGATTTTTTGGTGGCTTTTGATTTCAAAGATAAATCGTGTTTATGACATTCACTATTACTGAAATCAGTGCCAAGTTTTAGGTCACCTATCGTGATTGCCTTTTACCTGATGTCATGTGTCATTAAGTTTCATCATTTTGAACTTCTTGTCAGAAACCCCTGAAATGATTTTAATGAAATTTTTTGGAAACCTTTCCAGACCAAAGACGAACAAAGGTAATGAATTAATGGTAGTCCCCAACCCTATGGGTTGATAGACCTAGTCAGGAGTTGTCAAATTGAATAAAATTTCAAAAATTCTCTTCTCAACATCCAGATATGGTAGAATCAAATGCCTGGGGTCTAGACTAGAAATTTACAATGGCTTTATTTGAAAATTGCATTTTTGAGCATAAAAGATGTTTATTTTCCATTGGAAATAACTTAGTAAGAATGATCAGTATAGGATGTCAGTTTTGATAATATGTATATATTGACACATGCTGACCCTCAAAGGCTTAAAACCTATCACTTAATCTTTACTTTCATCAATTCTCTAATCTACCATATAAACTTTACACTTAGTAAGGCTGCCAGGCCTTTTGTTATCTGCTTTCCATTTCACAGCCTTGTGAATTTGTGAATGAATATTAACCACAAAATCAATGAAAATAAAACTCCCTCAATAATGAATGATTTTCAGTATATAATGATTCAGAGATGTAATTGGTATTATTGTATATTTGAAGGGCAGTGGAAGGAGAGGATGAAAACCCACTGACAGTACACATGGAGTATCAGAATTTTATGGGTACGTCATTGTTACTCTTGAGGGTAGGGTCAGTAAAAGTGGAAGTACAAAGGGAGGAGATCTACCTTCACTATCAAAGGGTTCCATTGTAATTTTGCTTAATTTTCCTTTCATCTTTGTAATATCTCAAGGCAAAATCAAATACATGTAGACCTGAAAACATAAAAGAAATGAGAAAAAGTTGAAATGAGATTTAACTTTTGGATTTTTTTTTAAACAGAGGACATGAACTCAGAGTATCTGTCCTGTATAGCCCCAACATGTATTGACAATACACCTGACAAAAGTGTCGGCCATATTGACTTCAACTCCCTCAAAGTACTCAACGAATATATATTTGTACAGGTGAGTTTATTTTCTAGGTGCTAGTCCATGCAGGTGTTTGTTAAAACATCATGAAAGCTCAACTGTTGGTTCTGTAGTTAAGAATATAACTGATTTATATTGATATTTTGTATGATGGCGTCCTTTTAACTCATTGCTAATGTGGATTGTATTCACGTAAGTGTAAATATAATTTCTAGATTGCAATAGGATGATATGACATCATTTTTGTGTTATGTTAAATGAAAGCTGTCCACATGGCCTCTGATTACAGTTGAAAGTAAATACAGTCTGACAAACTTTGAATGGTTAATTGTAATGATACATTTTAATGGTTAATTGTGATATAAGAATGGAAACTGCTGGATAATGATGAAATCCTGTAACATTTCAGAAGTCCAGCTATATCAGTCATGACCTGTATGTCTCCTACAAGAGAGGACCTTTCCGAAAGGCTTACTTTCCATTAAATGTCCATCCACAGGTAATATATAACCATAGTGAACCCCCAGAGGGTCAACAAATAACTGTTTAATCTAAATCAGGGGGTGGGCTTATTACAGGACCCCTTGGAAGGGGGGGGGGGGCGTCAATAAACCACTACTTAGTTAAAATCAGGGGATTTGCTTTTTAATCATATTCAGTTGGTGTGCTTATTACAGGTTCTAAAACATTTCCCCTTTTGCAAAGTTAGGGGATGGGCTTATTACAGGACAATGAAATATCTTTAAGTTTACAATTTTACTGAACAGCAAAGTAGATTTTCAACTTAAAGCTAAAGGAAAATCAAAACTTCATTTGGGAAATTGTCAGATTCCTTCCAAGAAACTGAATTTTGACAGCGTACACTGATGTAAAATATTTGATTCTTATAGATGTGTGGATATGATAGGACATGATTATTGAATGTAGAAGAGTTTCTATAGAATTTGAAACCTTTAATAAATGTCATTGATGTGTTAATTGTCAACAGGATTTTGACATCATAGAGACATCGGATAACCAGGTATTCATAGCAGCTGATCATAAGGAGAATATGGTGACACTGTACCTTTCGGATGTCACAGGTCAGTTTTATGTACCATCCCTGGAGCGGGTGGTGTCAGATGTTGTACCAGGTTACCTGGAAGTAGATATTTATAAGGTAAGAACATCACGATACTTAAGACTTTAAAATACAACAAGAAAATGATGCAAAAAAAAATCAGAATGCTGTTGTGATAAAACAATTTCAGTCAAACAGAGGTTACATGTAGAAGGGAGATAACTCCGGTCAATTTTTTCATTCTTTAATGTAAAATGTGGTGTCTTTGAAATCACTGCCATTCTACATTTGCTGAAACTATATAAATATTCAAAATGCTATAGAGTATTTAGTTGATACTGAATGTCTTTTTTAGCTCACATGTCAAGTCACTTTGACACACATTTTGACATTTGATCAACATCAAAGAAAAAGTTTGTCAGAGCTCTACACTACTTAGAACTTCATACTTTGGCCATGGGTTCACCTTTGGGAATCAGTGTGTCATCCTTTTAAAAGTAGGTCACTCTGACCTTCATTTTGACCTTTGACCTGCATCATTACAAAAACTTTGGCTCAATTTCCTACACTAGTGATCACTGGAACTTCTTACCAGGGTTAAGGCTCCCAGAAGTGCATTCTTGACATATACGTTCATATCTGGTTTGAGACTGCAATTCGCCTAATTGACTTGTTAGAATATCTCGAATACTAGCATTATTAGCTCACCTGTCCCAAAAGGAAAGGGAGCTATTTGGATACCACAGCGTCTATTTTCCACCATTCATCTGTTGTTTGTCAGCTCCCTATAAATCACAACTTGTCATGAACGACTGAGCAGATTTTAATCTAACTTTGTCTTAAGTGTTAAGCATATCGGTAATACTGATAACCAAATTTTGGAAGTAAAAATCTACATATGGAATTAAGAATGTATGTAAAGTTTAGACTTGACTTGACATTAAAAACATTTTTGACTTCTTGAAGAACTAGCTCTGTGTTTTTCTTTTAAAAACTTGTCTACAGTACTCCATAAACATGTGACAATTACACTGACCTTTGGCCTGTTAAATTTTAAACCAATTAGCAAAAAGAATTTTATTTTCCAGGTTAAAGGAGTCAAAGGTCGTTACATCGCAAACCATTACTGGACAGTAGGAAACGCTACAGTTATGAAAACACTGATTTCTTATGACAAAGGAGGAAAATGGGTACCAATTGAAGTTTCAAAGGATCAAAAGTATCGTTGTGTTGACCCAAATGTAAGTTGTAAAAATATGCTTGTAACATCAGGGTATGTTAGAATGAGTATTACTTTGCCATTTCCACTATCATCATATTATAGTGATGTAGGTTGTCATTTTATGCACAAATATTTTGCATTATATGTCAGGGGATTATACATTTGTAATTTGGCATTTGCTACCTTTGGTTTTAATATAAAATTAAGGAAATATTCATTACCATTACAACAAGTTTGGGAGGTATGTTTTACCAAAAATAGTTTTGAAAGATGTCTGTCATCTACAAAAACGTTTAGGAGATAACTGTCACCTACAACAGGTCTTAAGATATGCCACTACAATATGTTTTGGAGATAACTGGCACCCACAACAGGATTGGGAGATATCTGTTACCTGCAAAAGGTTTGATGACATCTGTAGTCTATAGGAAGGTTTGAAAGATATCTGTCACCTACAGGTTTTGAAAAACATAATATCTCACATTTAGTTAATATACTGAAATCTGGTTTTATTGACAGTTCTGCAGCCTTCACCTCCATCTAACATACAGCAATGAATATTATACAACACCTGTGATAGAGACAGAGGAGGGTGCCCCCTGGCTAATCTTTGCTCACGGCTCCATTGGTGACTGCCTTAATCCTGATCAGGCCGAGCTCTTTGTGAGCAGGGATGCTGGACTTACCTGGTCCAAAGTAATTACATTAATTAGCATGACAGTGTTTACTTGTTATTGATATATTGCTTTGATTTTAATTTTTGAAAATGGGAAACATTTAGAAACACGCAGGAGCTGTCATATGAGTATTAGTGTAGAAGTTGAGAGTAAAGGTTGCTTTACTAGCCTCTACTAGTGGGAATTTTCCTTTAGTCAAGCAGTAGATTGTCCGGCTAGAGACTGAAGGGTCTACAGTATTATAAGGAAATTTGTTGGTTCTAAATGTTGTTTCAGACAATTGGTCAAGTCATGCTGATCACTTCTGATTTTATTCTTGCAGACCTCCCTGGAAGGACAATTCCGGATGAACATTATTGACCATGGTGGAGCAGTAACTGCAATCCAGTACAGTAATAAGGTGCTCACTAACACCATACAGTGAGTGGGTTTTATTTAACTGGGCATATACCGTCATTATATCTTAAATATGTCAGGATTAACATTGTATTATATTATAAATTTGAATCTCTGACATTTTCAGCATTTAAACATTTTCCAAATAAGAATGGATTTTAATGAATTGATGTTGGAAACTTGAAACAAGGTTTGAGAACAAGAATTCTATAACATTAAAGCAATGATTAGATTTAAAATGATATATGGAAATACAAGTTAAACATGAAAAAAATTTATTTGATTGTTTCCGTTCGAAGTTATTCTAATGCCTCCTGTCTATATCCTCTATGTATGTCAAAACCGATTTGTTTTAGTTTTTCAAGTGATGAAGGAGAAACTTGGCAGAAACACAAGTTTGCAGACAAAGAAATATATGTCGATGGCATTCTTAACAGCCCTGATATCAGAACACTGGTTGTAAGGTAAAGTATATATAATTAACAAAGTGTTTATCTCTTTATAAGGCATTATACAGACCAAAGTGAATGATTTTTAATTAAATTCAATTTACTTTAATTTTATTTAATTCAGTGGGCATAAGTACGCTATTATGACCTTTCATCCTATCAGTTGACTAGAAAAGTTAGGAAAAAGAGTAGATTGGAAAGGTAATAACGCAGAGTAGACAGTGGAAGAAAACTTGATGGAATAGAGATGGTGTCGATTGTTCATGTGTTCTTATGTCCAAACACTAGATTTTAGAGGTCAGTTCTGTGGTCAAATATTGTCCTTACTAACCGCTAACCAACGGCAATCAGCTAAATCTACATAAGGTATTTGCATGAAGGAAAAGTAAGTTAGTAGACTATGATACTTTGTATATCTTGTATTTTCATTGTCTGCCTAATCTTCTTAATTGTTACGTGAAATTTTCTAAATCCTGATGTAACCTAGCCTGACCTGATCCACTATTGAGTGAATGGACGGTGTCATTTTCTCTAAAATTGAGTTACAGAAGAGTTCCGGTTTATCAATGTGACTTGCTTAGTTTTACTTTATTACAATAGAACCCTGTTTAGCCCCAGGATATTGCTGACACAATCCTTTTATTAATGTTCATCCTGCAACTGGCATTGCCATTGTCGGAATACTCCTGCCATATGTATTTTTGCAGTATTTAGCAGTGACAAAAAACAGCTGTAATTTAGCACATGCATTAATTAGTCAGAAGTACTTTCAGAATTTACTTTAAATTATGTTTAACAGTATAAATAAATGTTGAAATAAGTGATTTTATATGCTGCACTGAACAAGTTTATTCACAAAAATTCATGAAATCGCTGACATATCTGTTGTCATTTGGAAATATATTTCTGGGTGAGCAATTACTTTGTAATATGTCATCAGACATGAAATCGCTGACATATCTGTTGACATTTGGAACTATATTTCTGGGTGAGCAATTATTTTGTCATATGTCATCAGACATAATTCAGGGTAATGTCATTGTCAGGTAGGCAAAGATTGCAAAACAAAACTGTTGAAGTTTTGATGGTCTGAGTTTCAGGATAAATAGAATGCATGGTTAGTGTCTTAAAATACATGAATAAGCTACATTTTAGCTAAGGACAGAAAGACAAGCTTATATTTTATGACACTGACCATATACTCTCTACAGATATATTACATAATAAGGTACTGGCATGGTTAGTGTCTTAAAATACATGAATAAGCTACATTTTAGCTAAGGACAGAAAGACAAGCTTATATTTTATGACACTGACCATATACTCTCTACAGATATATTACATAATAAGGTACTGGTGTGTTAAACATTCAAGTTAATAAGAAGATTGATGTTGTATTATGCAGTGTGTTTGGACGGTTGGGGGATGAAACTGGGAAACTTATGGTCAAGCTGGACTTCTCCCAAGTACTGACCAGGCAGTGTACACAGATGGACTACCGAGATTGGAGCCCGGGAGCCAATGTATGTAGTGGCATACCTCAGTACTTAAATATCGCCCAATAAAGTGACGCTATTTCACCTTCATATACTGTAGATAATTGTATGACTAGAAATAAAGAACTCTCTAAACAACGGGAAATTTCATTGGTCTAAGTTTTAATGGTGCATGTATACTGAATAGCAGCTAAGATTCATGGTTCAAAATTTTTGCAATTTTCTTTTAAAAATGATAAAATTGTATTCTAATGATTTAAACTTCTTAAACTGGATGTAAAAGGACATCCTCTACACCCATTTCTTAATATTTGATGGATTAAAGTTTTGCAGTCACTTTCATGAACAGCCAAATGGCAAAAATATCATCCATGCGAAAATAACTGGATTTACAGTATTCTAAGAATTAATAAAGTAGACTGATAAAATACCCGTTTGTTTTGTGTTTATTTCATAAATCTTTATTTCCTTATTTTATTTCATTCTCAGGAATAACAGAAAAACTTTTAGAAATAACAACTTTAACAGTACACTAACACATTTAAATGATAGGTTGAAGGAGATCATCCCCCAAATTAATGGATGATCATTAGATATGTTGAAACATTTAACACATTTTGCCAATTTTGTTAGGTTGGATTTAGAATTTCTTATCTAATATTCCAGTTTTAATTTAGAACGTAGTATGTTAAGTTTTAACTGGAAACTTCTTTTAAAGATTTCTCAAGACAATTGCATCTTGGGAGAGGCTGTTACGTTCGAGCGACGCAACCAACACTCTGGATGTTACAATGGACCAGATTATGCGAGAAAGAAACCAGCATCCAGCTGTCTCTGTAGACCAGCTGATTTTGAATGGTAATTTATGTTAACTTTATTAGTATGCCAGTTATATAAGTGGAAAAAGCTAGTATGAAGCTGGTGTGATAGTAATGTTTTTGGTTGAATATAATGATTGGAGAATCAAATTTAGTTATACCTGCTTGTTTTAAAGAATCTGTTCCTTCACCACCCTACCAATACTGTGATTAAGAGAAATATTGTATTTTCATCACAATTTAAATTTTGTCAAAAGTTTAAAAAACTCCTGGTGAGAATGTTGTCTTGTATACAATATGTCTATTTTCTAATTCACATGTTGGACACTCTGAGCTAATTAGTAAGAAGGGCAGAGAGGCAAAGTAAGATGTAAATACCTCATTATCTCAAAGTCGGCAGAACCATGGGAAAACAATGAGTTATCCGAGTATTTTGATTTATGTGAGCTCGAATGTTTAGTGTGAAATTTTGCCGGATCGGATGAAATACTTTGAGATAATGAGGTTAGACTTTAATGACAAATTTTTTATAATATAACCTGGTTGATTCAAACTCTACAATAAAATCTATACATTAGATTTTCAAAGCTTTCTCTCTGTAAAATGCATGTCAATCTGATTGTGATCCTATAATGTGTTATGTGTGACTAAGTCTGTAATAACAGTATCCAGTTATTGCTGACACTTATATCTCACAGTGACTACGGCTACGAGAAGTCTCTAAGTGGAGATTGCTCCCTAACAAACTGGTACAATCACTCTAACATCAACTGGCATTGTAAGGAAGGAGAGCTGTACAATAAAACTAAAGGGTAGGTGCCACTTACAATATTATTAGAATTCACCTAATTTACCACTGTTCTAAAATCACTGTTTTGATGGGATGTAAATATTTTAGTTCAGTTTATTATTATTTGTGTCCCATTAACAACCGAAGCCATTTAAGGTCATTTAAGGACGTGCCAGGTTTGTATGACCTGCTGCTAGTACCTGGCAACGGTCCCACATAGGCCTTGTACACCCCACATAGGTCTTGAACCCATGACCCAGAGGTGGAGGGCTAAAGATGAAGATGGTCAGATGGCTTAAACACTCGACCACTGTGACCCACAGGATATAGGGAATGTAACAGTAAAATACACATAGGACTTATCTGTATCCCAGCAAGCCTGAAAGCCAATGTCAGTGTTTTTATTCCCTATTTAAGAAGTTTTTAATTGATATTTCATTATCTTTTTAAATCTTGTGACAATATACATCAAGGGTTTAGTGGCCACTATAGCACAGTCATTACAACATAAACTGAGGTGAAGATCTAAAGTTTGTACTTAATGTTCCCTGCTCACGCCTGTTTGTGCCGTTTTTCTGGAAGGAGAGAAACGAGATGGTCTAACTGTTTTATAGCGCTGGATAGCATTGTATGGGCCTCAGGTTTGTTGTTCATTGAAATAGCCAACAGCTATGGCATGAAAGATCTGCCTCACAAAGACCCTCGCTGTTCATTCAACGATCAATCCAGCTACTTAATGTAACATGCTTGAGTACGATTCTTAATATAGTATATAGTATAATAAATTCTTATCAATAGGTACCGCCTTATTGCCTCTGACAAGTGTACTGGAGGCCTTTCCACATCGGATATGTACAAGCCAATCCCTACCCCATGTCCTGTTGCTGCTCCCAGGGGCCTGGTGCTCTCCACCTCTAAAACTACTGTTGCCATGGGAACAACAGTCACATTTACTCTCACTCAGAGATCGGTAAGGAACAGGACAGCATGTGTTTTTCTGAGAAAGATAAGTTAGCTGAACTTTTAAACACAACATTTATCAGACCATGTTTCATTAACATTTACATGAACCTATTTTGTTATGAAGACATCAATAAATGTGTTGTTCAGTAAAACGATATTACAGTAAAACATGGATAAGTGGAAGTTGACTAAACCACATGAGATGAAATATTTGACTGTTAGACGTAGCCATGTTCCATGAACAGAGACATTGTGCATCGTATATTTACCCTATTGTCATTGGTTGCTTACCGCGATATATGTCTCATAGCATGGTGTGACAGTCATAAATAAATAATAAATCAATAAAGGTTTGGTATCATTTTTAAGCTGTTTGTATGATTATGTACATGTATATTTAGTAAATGTATTAAATCATAATCTATATTTCAGTGACAAACTGTGTATGACACATAACTGTTTAACATAATGTTGCTGAAATTGGTGTTTATTTTGTAATCCTCGTTTATTTAGGGATCAAAGTTGGGAACTACCTATACTTGGTCATTCAGTGACAATGGACGTCACGAAGTGGACACTAGTCTCGCCAATGGCACTAGGAAGTACCATCAGTTCAACAAGGCTGGTTATTTCAATGTTACAGTGGTGGCCATGAACTCCAATGGCAGTGCTATTTGTCGATTAATGATTTCTGTAGAAGGTAGGTTGTCTTTACATCATTCCATTACTATTAAGATGAAAGACGTTCCAGCATAACTAGAGTATAATGTTTAGATAATGGTGGTAGCTTTATAAAGATACCCTGTCTAAAGTGTAAAGTCAGAAATTGTTGGGAGCTACAGAGATCTCACAGTGTTAAGTCAGAAATTGTTTGGAGCTACAGAGATCTCACAGTGTTAAGTCAGAAATTGTTGAGACCTTACAGTGTAAAGTTAGAATTGTATGATTTTATTTATATTTTTTGCAGCAAATATAACGGCTGTACTTGCCCTGGCTCCTTGGGGAGCTGAAGTTGGTCGACTGACACAGTTCAATGTCACGCTGTGCTGTAGTGGTAACCAAACAGACTTTGGCCCTACACATTTTGTGTGGAGATATGGTGATGAGGTTAGTATGTAAGATTGTTAATGTTGCTCTCTGAAACTTTACTCATTAACATATTCACGCAAAGAATGCAGTGAAACAATTTTCTACCTTAATTAATGATGTCACAATGTTTACAATGAAGAAATTTCCATTAACAGGTTGGCAAGTGTTACATCATCATATCTCAGAGATGTACAATACATTTACACAAATACATTCATGTGTTAGGTATATAACTTTTAACAACACCAATATGATTTTATGAACAAAGTACGCAGAGGCACATTTAGAGGAATCTCAATAGTTTATTACATTATAATGATATCGGCTAAAGGGCTATAACAGCTGTAGTGCTTCAGTATTACCCGGCCAACAAGTAAATGCTTAAAAAGACGTCAAGACATCGAAGCTGCTGGCCGAGCTATGTACCTGAAGAGAGGCAACTTATCTATTTACTGCCAAATAGAATTCTTAGGGGACTTACGAATTACATAATGAAGTAAAAAGCCCAAATGGAAGATGTACCACAGCTGACAATATGATTTCCTATCCAAGAGCCTGGAAACTCACTCTCTTACATCTGTTTATGGGAGTTGGTATCCTAAAAGCAACTTTTAAGAATCTTTAATAGCAGTTTGTTTTTGTAGAGTTTAATCATAAAATTGAGAATTTCAGAAGAGGCCAGATTCATACATTGATGAACCCAGTCCCTTCTCCTGTTGTGATTGACTCACTTCATTATATTACTTATCCTTCAATCACCTTGCATATATTTGGGTATCCAGATGAGGAGGCAAAGAAACCCAAGAATCTACGCCACCTTCTATTGGTTATATTCCTCCTCTTATTGATTTCAGACGATGACTATAACAGAATACATCTTCTTACATGTTGCTATGGCCGTTGACATAGACACATGTTCGACTGATATTGGACGACGTAAACATTAATGTTGATTTTTCAAAAGTGCAACCTTTTAGTCTATAAGTGTGATATCAGTAGAAATGATAAATCCAATAATCTGAATTCCAGTGTCGATCTCAATAATTTCATTTCTTTCCAATATTGCTGTACCGTTGTTACTTTAATTCAATTATCATTTAAAAATCAAATTGTGAAAAATATTCAGAAAGACGGTGATTTTTGAATGGTTGTGACAAAGCTCTTTCAGGTAATGAAAATATAGTTTCTCTTAGTTATCATTGGGGCATTGCACTTTGCAAAATTCTATTTTGATGTGAATGTTGCTTCAAATTTTAATGTAACTTAATGTAACATGCACATGAACCCAATACATCACTATGATGTCATGTGCAAGAGATGTCAACTACATCAGTGTGTATGAGAGCTGCACTTGGTAGGAAATTATCATAGTAGGGCAGGAACTAAGAGCTGATGTATTTTTGACGGTAAAATATTGAAAAGGAACATTAATACAAACATATTCACCTGATAAATTTGTTACAGCCGAAAGGATCACATCCATATCTCACCTGGGGGACTACTGTCAGCCATAGGTACAACAAAACAGGCCAGTACAACGTAACAATCCAGGCGGTGAACTCGGTCAGCTCTGTACTTACCACGTACCCAATCAGTGTCTACAGTACGTAGAGAATTGTTAATTGTTGTCATGCAGTTAGTTTAACATGTTTTCTAACTGTAAAACATTTTTAGATAATGACAATCAAACTGTTTTTTTGTAAAAGAATAATCATTGTAACAAAAAACAGTAAATACTAAACATGACTTTTATCATTGATTGGTTCATGGATTTTTCCTGTCTGATTCTGCTGTAACTCAAAATTATTGCGGTCCAGCCAGATTTTTAAAATTGAACTCAACATTTTGTATAGTCATAAAATTTCTAGGGGACTCTACTCTTGATTACCAGGAGCTATAGTGGTTCCCTTTTTCCTGTATTTGGTCAATAATCACATAGAGCTTTTATTTTTTTAGAATTACCTCCCTTGAATTTTTTATCCCACATGATTTGTTATTTAACTATTACAATTGTGATTTTAATGATTTTCGTTAAAAACACTTCAGTAAACAAATTTTCCTGATCCATGTCAAAGAGTGTGCATCTTGTCATTATATATTATATTTTTTCTTTTCAGATAATGTGACTATAGTGCGTCTTCATTTCACCCCCAACATTGATCACTTCAGTACAGGGAGTTTTGACTGGCGGTACACTACATCACAGCTCATCTGTCTCAAGTTATCAGAGGTAACTTAACAGTCACAATCATTGAATGTCACAATAAGTTTAATGTTACCAAAATATGTCTATATTTGTCAATTACCTTGTTGGTCTTCATCCATTTTAAGCAGCTGAATTAGATCAAAATGGTTAGAAAGGGATAGGAGTTTGGGGATTGGATAGAGTTACAAGATGATAAGTGACAACTAACTTACTGTTTAATCAGATATTTCTGTGGGACTAAATTTTCATGTTTTTTCAATAAAATTACCTTTTCCTGGACTCTTGATTTCATGGATGAGTAAAGCTCATTAAATCTACTTATACTAAATCTAACAATCCATTCACTTATTTATAAAAAAAAATGAATGACTTCACAGTATGCATGACTTGACAAGTATAATAAAAATAGTCACATGTGAATCCGGTATGCTTTAACAGACATATCAATTACTACTCTTTAAAATTTAATCTCAGGTTTACAAATAAACAAACATTTATAATTATAGAGAAAATATACTTCGTATAATTATTTTTTTTATATGCTGGTGACAAACCAAATATATGATTTTATATACTTAAAAAAAAAAAAGAAAGGTGTTCTTTCAAACAAAAATATATATGATTAATAGTAATAAATGTTTAAAAAATTGTTTATTTTTTAATGAAAGAATGGTTTGTTTTCTTTTTTGAATTTAGTTGCTGTTTGTACAGTCCAATAGGTTGATGGTATCCATTCCTCAGATTCGCCCCACCATTGCAGACCTCACTATACTACCTAACGACCATGGTGGTCTCACTGTAGAACAGGTTGGTGAATATGTACAGTAAATGTGAAATTTGTGGCTATACAATTTAAATAGGATTTCTTTGGAGTAAGTTTAAATATAACACAACATTTTCAACTTTTACACAACAGGTAAAACTTTTTAATAGCCAGTATATGAACAATAAAACTAATTTGCAGTAGATTGAATTGTTTTTCCTCTCATACACCAAATATTTATATTTAAATGTTTCAGGTTGTGAAAGAACTTCAGCATAAAGTTAGTTCAAGCCAGATCCATTTTGAATTAATAACAGCTGATGATGCTATAAGTGTAAGAAATGTAGAAATCATAAAAGGTAAATGTTTACAGTATCCTACCTCTCTCACCTGTCGGGAACATTCCTCTAGTGCACAAACTTACATCAACTTTTTCTGTAAAATTATTACCACTGTATTCCTGTAGTGCATATGATTAGACAACTTTTTTTGCTGTAAAAGTACTGTATTCCTGTAGTACATAACTTAGATCAACATTTTCTGTAAAAGTAAATGTACTGTTTAAAAAAATACATTCATCTATAAAATAATTACTTTTATGTGCCCTTTGTCTTGTCTGTACAGGTAACATAACATCATGGGTTCCAACATCACCGCCGACAGTACAGGTGTCCACACTGTCGCGTGTTCATCCCACAGAAACAACATCCACAGCTTCAGTTCCTGTTGCTGTGTATATAATTGTTCCACTAATCGTGATTGCTGTTGGGACCTTAGTGGCCGTCCTCATTGTGTATGTCAAAAGGTAATTATATTTTGTATAAAGTTTCATAGCTTCCTTCATCAGTTATAGTGTTTATCCTGCAATATTCAGTCCAGAGGACCAGCACATTCTTGCAAAGTCATAGTGTTTATAGTAGTTCTTCTGAATAAAAATAAATATGGGTGGACTATCACACATGTGGTTATTAGCAGACTATGTCTAAACATAAACAAGAAATGTTGCTGTCAATATTCGTTCAACATCACAGAATTCTTTGAATGATAATCAGAAGCATTAAATGGTGCAAAATGAAACAAAAAATATGTCTTGTATTTTCTCACATGATCCATTGGTTTCATAATTGAAAAAAAAATATCAAACATATTTTGGAAAAAAATTAACATTTGTTTAGCAAAAATAATTTTGTTGGCAAGGACATCGGTATATTGATTTGGGTTATGCTGTTAGTTAATGACAAGTATTAGTTTAAAGATGAACTTGATTACTTGAATGATTTTTGAATAATGCACATCATTTTTTCTTTCACAGAAAACATAAACAAGATGCTCGTTATTCTTTGATTATGAATCGTCACCAGGGAGCAACTGTGCTGGATGTAGATGATGATGATGATGATGACGAAGATTTTATGGGTGGAGGAGAAAATATATTTGAAAGTCCAGATGGGGATAATAATATCATGATAAGTTCAGGTATGTAAATAAACTATGAAATTACGGACTGGATTACCTCCCTTTACTGACTTTTAGCTTTTGACGCTCTTGCTTTTAAACACTAACTGGTACTCCAATCCTCTGATCGTAGTATTTAGTGCTTTTTTCCCTTACCTTATATGTACATACAATAAAGATTTTTTTTGTGTCTCTAAGAAAGTGAGAATGAAAAATTGGATAGAATTCAATTCTTCAGTGAGCCACTGAAATATGAAAAACTGATCTGAAAAAGATAAATTTTAAATGAAAACCGAGAGGAAAATAAAACCATTTTGATAAAGCACTGGATATTTGACTAACATAATTTATAGTAATGAGATAGATATAGATGAAATATGATGTTGATTTCAAAATACTAGATATATAGATTTAACATCTGTAATTTTCAGAATGCAAACCCTTTGTTTTTAATATTTTGTCAAATTATTATACTGATAGACCTACCAAGTGAAAACCAGTGGGCAGCTTTTTGGTAAGGGGGAGGTAATCCTGTAGTCCCATTTAACTGTCATGGTAAGTAAGACCAGATCAGGTCTATATGTATTTAATCTATGTTATATTTCATATAAAGAAATGTGTCAGTATTTGTCTCCCACTTTGAAAGTAAGGAATAGTAGTGCAACCATTTTGGTCATTCTCTTTTTTTTCACCTGTCACAGTTTTAAAATGTTTGCATTGAGCTGTTCCTTTTTATTGAGTTGAAACTGTATCACAGAGCATATACTTTGTGAAAAAAATTGTGAAAAAACTTATTGAACAGAGCTCCGTGTTGGAGCAACATTGGAACATATACCAAATTCTTCTGTAAAGCATTATTTTTTTTTCAAAGATTTCACCTGTCACTGTTTTGAATTGTTTGGATGGAGCTGTTGCTTTATATTCAGTTGAAATTGTCTAAGTATCACAGAGCATATATTCCATGAAACCAGTGCACTTGTGCTTGGTTAAGGTTAATCTAATGAACAGAGCTCAGTGTCTGAGAAACGTTAGAACTTAGACCTAATTGTTCTATAATGCATTCTTGATAATGACGATTATCAGCTATTAGCTTTAGAAAGACTGGACCATATGTCTTGGTCTCGTTAGATATGCCAAATACATGTGTTAAAAAAAGTTCCAACCTGTGTATGACAAGAAAACTGGTTTTTCAGTTCAGCCTAAGATGCAATATAAAATTGCTTACTTTGAAAGATGAATGAAAGCAACAAAGTTTTTCTTGTTTATTTTTTTTAAATACTTATTCCTTTCAAAGTGGGGACATTAATTAGGGATGAATTCAACTTGTAAGGTATCATTTCTATTTTGAATGGATAAACTGCTCTACAGCTTCTGTGTTCTGCTCCTTGCTTTCGACATTTTCCATACTATATATGCTTCACTAAAACATTTATCTGTGTGGTTAGATAGAATTATGTACTTTAAGAAATAAATGAAAATATTGATCATTTGTTAACTAGTCCATGTCATTATTCACAAAGGACGTTTTACTGTCTTTATAGAAGAAAGTTCTTTAGAAAAAGACACATGTAGAGTAGTATATACATTTAACACAGTTAAATTATGTCAATACCTTTGCAGCAATATGTGGTTATCTGATATGATATGATTTATTTATTGAATTGACTTGACAATGAAAGATGAAAATACAAATAACTTAGTATTGCAGATATATACCGTAATTAGTACACATTGTAATAATGCGGTATATATTTACATCATTTCTCCTCTGTTTCGTAATACATGCAGTTGCCAAATCATGTTTTATTAATTTGACTTAAATATTTAAAAAAATCAAACTAATTAAGTTATGAAATTACTGCAGTATTCAAATATTTTGCAGCCAAAAGTCTGTAAAAGCAGTAATTTGTGTGAAATTCTTGTGGTACTGTGGTAAATTAGAGTTTTATCCAAATTTTTCTTCTTTTTTTTTCCCCCATAATTGACCTCATGGAGAAGTTTGATTCATCAGGATCAAAGACACTTTCTAATATATGTGAATATTTCCAATCTTTTACAGTACACAATTCTACATTGGTGATGATGACACCTGCCCAGCGTTCCAATACAGCAGATTGTTGATGATGGCTTTTGCTTAGTATGTACACTGTGTATAATGATGTATTTTGCTTGCCTCAACATTAATCTCCATCCTTCCATTGTTTTAGTTGGTGCGATTATAAGTCCTTCCATACATCCATCCAATATTGTGATACATAATATTATGTTGGTAACCAATCCCAGCAAGGAACATTATGCATTAGATTATGTGTATAATTTTGATAGGAACACTTGCTGTGGAGTGTGATTGTTACAACTTACTTGTCAGGGGAGACAACTGTGATTTTGTTTTTCGACAAGAATTCATCATCTTTTTTTTCTTTATGTATGTGCTTTTTTTGCCATGTATCATATCAGGCTTTCAATAAGATTTTCTAGAATTACGTTTTAATTACATCTTTACATCTTTACCATCTCAAGACAGTTGAAGATTTATTTCCATATATAAACCAAATGTCTCAAATTTTTCAGATTTCACATTTTATCATTCATCTGCATCATTTGATCATCAGGCCATAGTTGTTCAAAGGCTGGTTACAGATAACCAGTGGTACATGAAAACAGTTCAGATATAAAGTAAACAAAATTGGCAAAGCATTCTTGATCATTTCACTGCTGGAGGTCTGTTGAGGCAGGTCGGATTGATATATTTTGAGTGTTAATTTTGCCTTTAAAACTCCTGGGTTTTTCTCAATGGCAGCAATTAAAATTGTTTATTAATCACTGGTGAATTCTAACAAAGTTTTGAGCAACTGGGGCCAGTTGGCCTTGAGAACAGTTACTGTATAATAGTTTTTATTTGTGGATATTCATTTTCGTGTACCTAAGTCTGTATCCTCATAATTATATAATAACAGGGAAAATATGTTGTCCACTTATAGTAACCAATGTTCTTGAACGATTCGAATCCATGCCACAAAATTAATGTGGTTAAAAAGATAAGTTGAAATGATTCGAATTCAAGAACAAAATCCTTTTTTTTTTTTTTTTAAACCCATTGAACAGTATGTTGAAGGATTTTCATATTGCATAGACTGTGTATGATTTGGGTCAAAGTTGACGCTATCAGCAGAATATGAAGTGTCTTATTTAATTCCATGTGAAGGTAAAGATAGGAACTTTGTATCACAGAAATCTGAGTTGTCTGACCACCAAGTTTGTCGGACATCTTGTAGATGTTCATATCAGACTTTATGGAAAGTAGTTGGTTCAAACTGTGATAATGTGGTCATTTTAGACAGAGTGTGACAAGTGCTCTTTTTAGACAGGATATGATTATAGTTTGGGATAATAAATGTATACATATTATATTAAAAAATTATGATAAATATATTGTATAGAGGCATTTTGCCTATATTCAACAGTGTATTATTTTATTATTTCTACAATTGTATTAAAAATTATATTCACCTATGAATAAATTTTTGTATGTATCAGATGCTGAAATTAAATTGTAATATGGATCTTTACACATTTTGTATATATATGTATTGCTTTTGAAGTTTTTCTTGATGTGCCTTTTAAAAGATAATAATTAGGTTTAGTCGACGTGCCTTTAAAGAGATATACTAATTGTAGTTTATGTAATTCATTACTGAATGCAAGGTACTTCAGATTTAATTCATCATTGAATATGTATTGTCTTTACAGTCTGTTGTAAATGCCTTCAACACTTAATAATGACATATGATGACCCTTCTATAGACTAGGTTTAAGCTCTGGAGTAATTACTATCAAGGTTTTAACCATTTTTAAATTTCAATTGCTACGAACTGTAATTCACTATAAAACTTGTAGTTATTGTCCAAGGGTAATGATCTTATACCAAATTAATTATTAGAGTCTCCAGATTGAAATCTAACTTAAATTGAAAAAGTTGATTTACACATCAACCTTAGTTAACAGGTTAATTCTGGTTAGGTAAAACTTATTATAATAACTTTGCTTTTTAGGAAACCCATAGAAACTTTTCCCATTTTCAAATTTGATCCCCGGAAAACTCTCAGAAATTTTACCATTTTGTAATTTGATCCCCATGCTAAATGTAGAATATTTGTTCAATAAAGGACAGGAAAAGTCTCGCAAGTGTTAGAATAAGTCGAATATGTAACAACTGTCATCGAATAGTTTAGTTTTTATACAGAAAAGGTGAAATTTTTGGAAAATTGTCACATGTTTTAATTAGGAATGTAGAGGGAGAGTCAAGTGTCATCATAAGGTGGTGAGGGATAGGAAGAAGGTGAAAGATTGATTTAATTTTGAAATACAAACAAGTTTATGTTGTTGACGTTTGATGTTGATGTTAAAATAAATAATATTGACTTGTATGACAGTCTCTTGTTTTAAATACATGTACATGCAAGCTTTTATAAATTTGTTCTTAGAAGCAAGTACCAAACATTATGTCCTTATATTAAGAAAACATATGAATAGTTGATATACCTGTATTAAAAGACTTTTCATTCAATATTTAGACACTTTAAAATGAATTAAGATAGTGAATTTGTTGTTAATTAATATACATTTCTTCATTTTTACAAAGACTAATAAGACGGATTTAAGTGAAAACAATGAATTCTTAAAATTTTTGTATAAAAGATATTTCACCCCTGATTGTAGCAATTTTTAAAAAGATCTGACATGCACATAAAATATCTAAGTATCGAGAAAAGTGGGCATTTAAAACTCAATCCATATCTTGATGAAGACACGACACATATTTCTTTGTAAACATGTAGCTTTGGTATTAAATACTCTTATGACAGCAGGAAAGCAGCTAAATAAAAAAGAAAGAAAATGCAGGATATACAACAAATATCAGTATGTTTAATAGAAACTCTGATGTGGTTATGATTTTATAACATGTTGATGATAATGATTGAATGATTAACTTAACATTATATTTAGTTTCATAGGTGTTGGAGATGGAACAGACAATTTTGTGAGAATACATATGTATTTCAATTTTCTCAAATCATTTTAAACATGTAAAATCATTTTATGACAGAAAAGTGGATTTTAAGAGTTCAGATGTTTAAAGCAAAGCACTTTGATGTTAATTTCCTTTTTTTCTTGTTTTTTAAATGCTACAGCATAGACAAATCATTTTTCAATTTCATTACGTATATATAAATATACATATATATATATATATATATATATATATAGTGTGTATATTGTACAAAATATTATACTGTTAATGTTACAATAAACTCCATACACTACATGTTTCACACATTGGAGTTAAACTCTGTTGTTCATCATATCAATATCATCACGATTGTTTTTTGTTTAGAGTATAAATATTGAGATTTTTTTGTGCTTTCTTGTGTTAATTACTCAAGCTTTGTGTTCTGTGCAGAAGCAAGCATAGGTAAATGTTTTAGAGCTAGAAACATTTAATGAGAAGAACAGTTCATTTCAAATCCAGATTCAAGAAATGTTGTTTTATCAAACTATATTTAGATAGAACCATCTTGTAGCTAAGGATCCAAGATTTTTGAACAAATGAACCTGTCTCCTGGACATTTTAAGTATTAACTCCCAATTCAAAGTCTAGATTAGGGCAAAATATTGAACATTAAACAAATGTAACCATTAGCCCACATCTGGGAATTTACTTCTGAAAGCTGAGCATATTTGTATAAAAATTTTCAGATTGACATCTCAGAATCATTCTCAAGTACAAATATTTCATTTTGGTGTTGCTTACCGGTACATATTATTTCAGTTTTTACTTAATAAAATTTCAAAAGATTTACCTTCAAGGGAGATAATTTGGTATATATCCAATAGATTGAACTGTGTGTAAATAATTTCCTACTTCTGTAAATGCTCATGATGTCTAAAGAAGTATTTTTTTTTACAGTATTGTAATCTGCATGGTTGAAATTAACAAATTAGATAGGAAAGGGGAGATAACCAAATGTAAACGCATGCTCAGTCCTTTAATCAACTAAGTGCTGTATCAACTTCTTTTCTATGTGGTAACATTTCTGACATCAGTCTGAAATATTGACTTGCACAATCGTTACAGGTATTTGGAATTAAAATCTTTTATTAATGTCTTTTGTTGCAATTACAACTTCAAAATTAAATCCATTTCAGTACTTGACCTGAATTGAAAGGCGTAAATCAGTCAGTATTAACCATTAAACTAAAATGATTGACAAACCTTTATCCATAAATTCAGAAAATTTAAGTGAAAAACATCTTTTGTTTTAAAGCTTACTGATTACCTAAAGACTTCCTGTTTAGATGTTAAATCACAAATTTCAATTCAGCGATTGGTCATTACTAATCTTTTGTACAGAATATTGTTATATTTAGAACAAAGATATTGATTATAACTGAAATGATGCATTATTTCTCCTGATTGTATAAATCAGTACTAATAGGTTATAAGTTTATTGAGCAGGGATTTGAATTGGGCAGTCCACTTCTGTATGAATGAAAGTGCTATGAGTTGGCGCACCTATTTGCTTGGGAGCTTTTTCTTGTTAAGTTTGATAGTTATAATTATATTACATATGTTTGTTTTATGTTTGTACACTCTGTTGTACATTCACCTATTATCAGCTTGTATATGCTTGTTTTGTTTAAATGTGTGTTTATATGTTTGTTTGTAGATCTTAATTTCTGTGACTCCACTTTGCACAAAGAGAACACATCAGGGTAGCAAGTGATTGCATAATTCCATTATTCAACACTTAAGTTAATTCTAACTATAAAATAAATGTTGATTTCATTCAAAGTGATAAGTTCAAACCTAGTTCACGCTGTATATTGTCATCCTTTCCACAACATTTTGTATATTCTATATGATCTCATGTCTAATGTCCACGTATTAATTTTTCGATAATGCAAAATAGAAAACATTCATCTACAAATTCAGAATTTTAAGATAAACAGTTTCATTTATTTTTCATTTAATAAGTAAGAGTTAATATTTCCATTTTATCTTCATAATTCATACCTATATTTATCCCCCGACACAAAGTTTTAACAAAGGGCAATAATTCTGTAATCAATGGTTAAAGCACTACTGTGTACATCTTCTGAATATGATCAATGTATACACCCAAGTTTCAGTATCCTAGTTTAAATGAAAGCAAAGTTATGCTGCAGACAAAACATTTTGACAAATGAAACTAATTCTGAAACTATAAAAGGTTGCAGGCCTGAATTTGGTACAATGCTCTTGTCTTAGTATGACCAATGTATACACATAGTTTCACTATCCAAGTTTTAATGTTAGCAAAGTTATGCTCTGGACACAAAAAAATTAACAAAGGACAATAACTCTGTATTTAAGGGAGCACTTGGCCCTAACATTGATACACTGTTCATTGGTTTGTATGCTCCAGACATGGACAAGACAAATCAAGAAGTATGTGTCTTCTGCAGTATATGGAATGTATAAGGCGAAATTGACAGGTGTAGGTCTCATGTTTGTATGTGTGTGTATGTTTTGTTAAAAGGACAGATTTGTACATTTAGTGTGTTGGTTGTGTTTCTGTTTACTGTGTACACTGCCCTTTGTTACTGTAACACAACACATTGGCAGCTTTGTACAATTTAGAATCTCAATAAAAAAACAAATCTGCAATTTATTTATGCTTTGTTTTTGTTTACCCAATTAAATAAACGGTGTCAATTTAGGAATATTTTCCCAACATATATACATCTAGTCGAAAGCCATTATCAACAAATTCAAGGAACTGTTGAAAACATTTCAACTTATCCGAATTTCAACTCAAAGTGACCCAATAAGGTTGACAAAATCAGTTTCCTGACATTGATAACAGTTGAACAAAGTACAGGTTACGATATCATGCAAATGGTGTTATTTGAAATGGCAGTCCATAAACAAAAAAGTCATTTCTACTTTCTCCTTTTATTGTTTATCCATCAAAACTACAAAGCAATAAACTGTAGTGTAAACTGACTTTCATCTTTTGTCTATAACCTTGATTGACCATTGGGACTTACAATATTCTTGAATGTCTTTTGAATTTTATCTCTCAAAAGAAGTTCAGAGATTGGTTTACAGTACAGTATAGTCCTAATGATCAGGTTAAAATTACAGAGAGCAAAAACTGTGAAATGGTGTAGAGATTAGAAATTTCACAAAAGAACAACTGATGAAAAAAATGGTCAAATTGGAGCAAAGTGAAAGTCAATCATTTGATTTACTGATGCTATTCCACACATGTTCATAGTCCTGTAAAATATCTGCTGCTGTTGGTCTGTGTGATGCCTGCTCTTCTTTACAAGCAGAATGGATTCTGAACAAATCCATTTTGACTTTCAGAGCATCACTATTTCCATCAATGAAATTATTACAGACATCAGGAATTTTCCATATATCTGATTTCTCATCATAGTGTGGCATAGCTTCATCTTTGAACTCAGTATCAAAAGGCCATAATTGTTCTGGTGCAACAAATTCTCCCCCAAGTTGACGATGACCACATTTGATGAGTTCACCTGCAGAATGATTGACCTTAGCTATGGAATCTACATCATTGAGTACCAGTGTTAAATTGTCTGTGATAAGAAACTGCTTCAAGGTTTTGTCAAGATCATTTGAATCACACATGACAAAGGTTCCAAGTCTGTGTGTGTGTAGAAAATTTAGAATCTGGACGTAATTCACACACAGACTAAATCTTCTTGCCATAGTATTCTGGAATACAGAGGGGTGGTCACGGAGAATATTTTCCAGCTGGTCAGCGGAACCAAATTTGTAATATTCTGTAAAATATGTGTCATTGCAAAACCCTACAAACTGCACGACCTCAAGATGACCTTGAAGTTGTTTCAGCATTTCCAGTCCATACCTGTAGTCTTCTAGATACAAATCTGTGATTGGTTCATTCATCGCTATCATATGACCGTTCCATGTTGCTAATGAAACCTGTTATTGAAGGGAAATGATACAGCATATGTAAACAGACTAACGATTTGTCAATTTCAACAACTCCATGTGCAATTCTGATTTCAATATTACACAAATTATGATATAAAGATGGTAAACAAGATTTGTCCATGAAATCAGGTTCCAACAAAAATGCACAATGAAAACCATAAATATCCTTTTACAGTATACAATGGTTCTACATGCTTGGAACAACTAGTGCTCATTAATGTATAGTTTCAAAGCAGATTGTTTTTCTTAAACATCTAACATTTCCCTGACATTAACAATACAGTAAATCAAATTTCCTTCTTTCCATTCGTCATTTTCAGGAGCAATCTTTTATCAAAGTGATTGTCAGTATATTGACTTATAACTACATTGATGCTTAAGATAATGATTTTTTCCAGTTATCTTAGAAGACTTAGAATCCAAAGATCTTTTTGAAATATCACGGAAGTAAGAAGGAAAGCAAATCAAAATCTGATATGCTGTTCACAAGGAATCAATGTCCCATAATACATATACTCTCACAAATTTGGGAAAAATTTAATCATTCAAACAGAAGAAAGATTTTAAAGAATTCAGGTACTCCTACAGAAGAGTTTCAAGATTTTAAAGAATTCTATTTCCCTTATTAGACCCCTCCCCTACTGCCCCAGCAGGCTGAGACCCGGCATTTATACAAAATTGATTTCCCAATTATGTTTGAAATCTAATTTGGTCAAAATTTAATCATTGCTACAGGAGGAGTAGGATTTTAAAGAATTTGCTTTATTTACCCTATTGGGAACTGCCTCTCCTGGCTCAGGAAGGGGGTTGACACTCACAATTTATATAAGATATTGATTCCACTTCACCTATGGAAGCTTCAGACCAAATTTGGACAAAATCCAAGCATTTCTACAAGAGGAGTAGGATTTTACTTAAGAACTTGAAATAAACTTTCTTCCATTTCTCTTATTGAGTCCTGCCCCTCACCCCAGGGTGCCAAAACCAGCTGTTTATACAAAAATGATTCCTCTTCACCCATGGATACTTCAGACAAACTTGAGCAATACCAAATCAATCTTACTGGAGGAGTATGTAGGATTCAAAAAAAAAAAAAAAAAAAAAGAACTTGCAAAATTTCCCCTTTTGCACCCTGTCCCTCAGGACCTTAGGGACTGAAACACTGTATATACAATACTTGGTCTTCTTCCCTCAAGGATGCTTCTGGCAAAATTTGGTCAAAATCTGGTGTGCTCATTCATGACTAGTACCAATTTGTAGAAAAAGTTAATGGACGCCAGATGAGGGATGCTGCGGTATGGCATTAGTTCACTGGTTCATCAGACCAGGTGAGCTAAAAATACTTACACTCAACTTTAACATAATTGACATCTGACTTAGAGCACCATACTTCACAGAAGCGAAAGTATCCCAATGAGCAATAACAGAGTATTTAGAGATATTAGTGATGGTCTGGAGGCATTAATTTACATACCTGTTTCACTGCTCCAGCTCCAATAGTCTTGACCTTTATAATGTCATCCTTGAGGTCCTGACATGTAAGCCAGGGATAACATTGTTCATGCATTGTTGACAAATGGAAGTATCCACCAGGACAGATCAGGCGGCACACTTTTCCAGGCCCCTTTTCTCCGTAGACATTGCAGAAAATTTGACCTTTGCCTTCTACTCTCCAGATTAAGGGCCAACAGATTCTTGTAAGCCATGCTATGATAGAAGGAAGGATCACATACTCAAGTATCTTCAACCACATTCCATTTCAACAGTTTTATGAGTTATAAGAACCTGTTGTAAAAAAGAAAACATGATTGTAACATAAAATACCAATGAAGTTATCCAAAGGTAAATATCACAGGCAAACTTCCAAAATTGTATGTAAAAAAAATTGAAATAGTTAGTTAAACACAAGACATGTGTTGTACAATATCCTTCCAATATGCTTATATTAATTCAGTTAGAATAGTTATCAAGTTCCTTTAACTGAAATAGGTGCAGTTTTGACATTAAAACAATAATTGATATAAATGATGTATGGTCTGTCTAAAATACAAATTGTACTTACTAATAAACACGATTAATCATAACACAAAGATCTTAAAAAGTTCTTTAATACTGAAACTTAGAATCACATTAGAGTATGTTCATTCATGCATAAGGAATTCAGGCAGAATACAAAATAAAAAAAAAAAATCAAGTGACAAGTCACTGACAACATCAGTAAATATAATTGTGCTGGACTTAGCATAGGATATATGAATATATCATATTGAAAAAAATTAAATGTGTTCCTGTGTAATGTTTTTCGTGTGTCATAATGTAATAATTGAGACATCAAATTTAACCCTGAAATGGGCATTAGGTCAAATAGTCAACCTCAAAATTTGTCTTGTTAAATTTACTTTTCATAATTTCTAAATGTTTCTGCTAAAAAAACAATGAGATATTAAGTTGTCATTGGTATATGTACAAAATGACACTATATGAACTGAAAAGCAGATCGGGGTAAGCTGAAAATACCACAAGTAAAAGTGCAGTGTTTTAGTATTACTGAGGTAACTGTACGTCACTAGACATTAAATATGCATACTACACTGTTTTAAATCCATTGGAAGTGATTTTTGCCATCTGCATGTTTTTGTACTTTTAATGCTGCAACCAGAGACATATGATATATACGTCTCTGCTGTAACCAACTCTTCTTACGTATATTTCTGTTACCATATGCATGTTAAGCTGACAATGCATCACTTATATAGCTTAATCATATTTTAAACGAACAGAAAGACCCACATGCACAGTAGTTCTAGATCTAACTATCAAGAAAACGCCCGCTCTTTTCTACAGTAGTCAATAACCTTCTCGTTAAAATGAAGTTCCAAACTTCACGTTGTGCTTTATGTACGATTTGCTATAACATATCTGCATGGGTCCTATTGATTTGCCACGATGCAATCACCAAAGAAAATTCCGGAAAGCATGAGAAGATAACTCTTTTTACCTTTCCGGTTGACATCACCAACTGTGATGCATCCCACGATGTTTTGTAAAGAAAAAGTATATCATCTACTCACATTTCTGGGTGCCTTTTTTCATTTGACAGGTAGGTATCTAGCTGATCTATGTAAACAACGGAAGTTTGAATAACGGAAAATGAAAGTAGATTTAATTTCATCTTTAGGACAAGGTTGACAGCTGATCATGGTATGACTGACGAACAAAAATTGCAAGTATCCTTGGTGTATTAGTTTTAGATCCATAATCGTAGCAATGCTTCGTCGATGAGTTGCTACCAAACAAATACAAAATGTATTGAATTGCGTTTATACTGTGGAATTTATTCAATAAAATACAGACGTACAACCCACATGTTAATTCAAAATCAGCGGGCTCTCATCAAAAGTGATCATTTTTAAATCATCATTTTTCAACATGAGATCATCAGATGTTTGACATGTTGAAATGTGTATTATGAAAAGATACTCTAATTTATCAATGGAACGAATATATATACTCAAAATATTTCATGATGAATAGAATGAATCACAGTTGTTGATTCTTTCGGGAAGCGTCAAATATTAAGAATAACCAAAATCACACAGGTTTTAGATCACACACATAAATATATAAAGGTCACGATCAAAAGTTCACATAAAACAAATCAACAGAAACACAACACCAAAATATATAACAGCCTGGAACCAATGTCGAGATGATACTTGCAAAAGTAAGTTTACCAGTTTAATAACCAACTGGTAAAATCATGTTAATTTACAGTATGCTGATCTCCGTCAGATCAGGATATAACCTTCTGCAGTCAATTTATCATCAACTATTTCAGTACCTTGAAAATTTACATCCATGGGGAAAAATAATTTCAACCAAAACCATTAAAGCACTTTGTCAATTGTGGCCTGTTCAATGTATAATCGTTGGATGGTTTCAGATTTGAGTTGAATGCAGTAACATATATTTCTGTTGATAGTTGCAGATGAGCAGATACGAATAGCAACAACCTCTGATACCAACCTTATTTTTGGAAATTCACTTTTTATGGAGGTTTTAGAACCGGAGGACATCAGATTTTTATTTAAAATAAGACCTGCCAAAAATTTTGGAAGAGTTTTTGTAAGTATAAAGTTTAAGTTAATATTTATTTTTTATTACCTTCAAAATCATATTAGATGAAAATAAAGATGCATATTTTAGACAAATCCAATTAACCTGTATTTTCACTAACATTATGTGGCATGTAGTAGACTTGCTCATTTGCAATGTTATACTATGCCCAACAATTAAGGTACATGTATTTCATTACAGAAAGAAATCAGAGTTCCTATATGCTCAGGCAAAAGTTGTGTCTTATTATAATTATGAATCAACTCATTCCATTAAGTGAATAGTACTGTAGCTGAGGTCAGTATTTATTTGAATGTCTCACTAGAATTTGAACCTAGGACCTCTGGTTTACTAGTCTGGTACTCAATCAATCCAGCAAAGCCGAAGTTCTATTTAACTGGATTGGTTGAGCATCAGACTAGTAAGTGAGAGGTCCTAAGTTCAAATCCTAGCAGAGGCAATAAATAATGACTTCTGTAACAGGACCATTATAGCTACAAAACAACCAAGATATGATGTGAACAAAGGGAATGTTAAAACTGATTGCTAATGATATGCAATTGGTTGTCAACTTCTAAACACATATTATTAATTATTATTATTATTACTTTATTGAATGACATAAATGAGATATGATCTATTTTCATATTTCTGTCATATTTTTTTTTTTACAGGACAGAAAATACACAAGGATGCCATTGATATTAGGAAGTCCTTACAACGGGTGTAGCCAGTTAGATAATTATGAGATTGTGAAAGATAGGATTGTGATGCTTAAGAGAGGGTAGGCTTGTTTTTACCATTTTGTTCATTTGAAGTTTAGTCTGGCAAATTACTGTGTCACATTGTACTTATGTCCTCTTGTCATGGTATATTACACTGACATCTTGATCATTCTTGTGAGGCAAATAACACAAAAAACCCACAGGTATGTCTCCTCCTTGCAACAAAAACACTAACACCTTTTAGTTATGTCCCCTACTTGTGATAAATGAGATTTATGTCAGTTATGTCAGCATAGTACAACCAATAAGACTGAAACACCAGTAATATATCTCCTTATTGTGGCTATGAGTCTAACAACCCACAGTTATGTCCCCTTAGTAGGACTAATAAGACTGACACCCCAATGTTTTATCTCCTTATTATGGCTATGAGACTAACACCCAACAGTTATGTCCCTTTAGTGTGACTGATACCCTACAGTTTTGTCCTCTTAGCACGTCCATTAAGACTGAAATGATAAGTCTCCTTACTGTGGCTATGAGTCTAACAACCCACAGTTATGTCCCCTTAGTAAGTCTAATAAGACTGACAACCCAATGTTATATCTCCTTATTATGGCTATGAGACTAACACCCCACAGTTATATCTCTTTAGTGTGACCATTGAGACTAACACCCACAGTTATTTCCCCTTAGTGACCAATGAAACTGACACTGTAACATTAATAGCAGCTCATTTTGACCATTGAGATGAATAACCCACATTTACCCAGATATGTACCATTAGTGAGAAAATGAAAATGTCCCCTTAAAATTTTATATTGAGACAATTATCACACAGTTATGCCCCCTTAATGTTACTAATGAGATTAATGTTCCTAGTTATTTTCCCTTGGTGTTACTAATGAAACTGACACCTCACAGAATGATTTGAAAAAATTAAGTTATGTCCATTAAAGTATATTTACACTTACACCTCACAATTTTGGTTATAATCAGAAGACAGAGCTACATCCCATCATTATCTACTTCTAAAGTGATGTACAGGACGTAATGTTCATTTAAAGACAATAAAAAATGATGACAGATATGATGTAATATATTTATACACATATATTTACAAACTTGTTTTTCTTCTCTCAGTTATCCCTCTTGAAACTATGGGGCTATTGTTGTTATATTAGAGTAACATATTTTGTTGATTTGTTGTTGCAGGGAATGTTCATTTGTCACCAAAACTTTTCATGCCCAAAATGCTGGAGCTGTGGCAACTATTATAACAGACAATGATAAAGATAATGATGACAGTACAGTAGATATGATAAAAGATGACACTGACAGGGAGGTGGATATACCGGCATTATTCCTGCTGGGTAAAGATGGGTAAGATTTCATCCGCCTAAAGAATATTTGAATGTTGTAAGACAATTCAATGCATAATATGTCAATGGGAAAGACACTTAATTCAGGTACACTTAATGGCATAGGACGGGCCTCTTGCATGTTGTTCACTGAGGTAATCACCAGCTGTAAAAAGGAGTCTCTGCCTCTAAATGACCCTAGCTGTAGATGGTGAAAAACTCAACAAACAAACAAATAAATATTAGTAAATTTTTTTGAAATTATAGCACATTGACTTGAACACTTTTTTATGGGTATTGTTTTTTTCACCTTCATTACCTTGAAATACATTACATAGGTTAGATATTGCCATGTGATAAGAATGTGTTTCTTTAAACATGGTCAGCTGGAGGTCAAAGATCAGTGTTAATGAACCTCCATAGGAAAATGGTGTTTGTAAAATTGACTTCTGAGAAATACTGAATAATAGTAAGAAAATGTAATACAGTTTTTAATACCTGAGGTAAAAATTTTGATTTGACATCAAAAGAAGAGTTTCAAGTACTTCTTTTTCAGTAAGAGACTTGTTAAATCACCACTCTTTTGTGAGCAGAAAATGATCCCAATGATTTTGTGCTCATCTTGACACCTCCATGAACACATTTGATATGATGTTTTGCTGTTTTGAAATAGTGATTTTGCTGCAGAAATTATTTAAGAACTGTATTGAGCATGTAATAAGCTTCAGGCCGAATGGCTATCACATTATCTCTGCCTCAAGTGTGCTTACTATTGGACAATGGAATATTGGTGTATAATTTTTATTTATTTCAATGCTTGTGCTAGGATTCGGTCCTGGGATCCCTGCCTTCCTAGTCTCAAGCTCGACTGATTGAGCTAAAGAGAAGTTCACCCTAGCCGAGCAGTATATTGTGGCTAGTAATTTACCAGGGTTACATATTTTACTAAATATCAGTATGTAGATGGGCTTATTACTTTCAAATAATTTGTTGTTATGTTAGCACGTGTATGTTGAATGACATTCATTGAATTTTGTTTTGGATACAGATACATGATACAACGGTCTATAGAGAGATACGGTCTGTTGGGAGCCATCATCAATATCCCTGTCAACTTAACCGGAGTGCCAATCAATACTGTCAACAAACCACCTTGGACATTATGGTGATGCTGCTGTTTATATTATATTGGTTATATGAGATACAGAGTTGCAATACAAAACAGACTGAAGAAGTTAACTTGTTATTTGATAGGGTAGGTCAAACAAGTAGATCACTGAAGTTTGATTTATGTACTAAGGGAGATAACCGTAACTTTTCATACCATGAAAGATTTACTTCATTGTGTGAAAAGAAAACATATTTTCTGTGCAAATTATATGAATCCCTAATTTTTGTAAACAATGTAAATGAAGTAGTTGTTTATCAGAAGCTTGTTGTCATGACATCATTTGTAAAAAATTAATATGGTTAGTTTTGTTTATTGTTAAAAAGATGCAAAAACAACATGAACACATTGCCTTTCTGTTGACAGTGGCATCTATGTGACAGATGTGTTGGCACAGTCACCTAAAAAGTATAAGTACCATATCAACCAAATTCAGTATAAAGTTACATGTAGATTATAGGTTGTACAACTTGAATTAGGACAAAATCATAGACTTTATTACTTTGGTTTATTTTTAGGTATGAATACAAACAAATTTGGGTAGATTTTGGAATTGGCAATTACACTGTAATACTTTTCTTATTTATATATCAATTTATATACAGCTTCAATTTACAGTGTTGTGTAACATGAGAAACTCCGACTCATTCAATCAACATATTTTTTCTGAAATGTTCTTTCACACAAAAAAGTAACTTATGTTATAGAATATTTTTTTCAATAAAAGTGCACGCTTTGATAACATTTGTGTTATAGTTGACAGGCTTAACTCCTTTTCTTCTGAAATAAATATGGTATAATTACCTCATGTATCAACTTCAATCGTTTTTATAGAATGAAGACAAGATTTCAAAAGTGTCAACCTAGAGGGAATAACCTTTGGATACATATTTAAATTTAAATGGCATCCTTTTTTTCGAATTTATTTCGTTAAGTAGGCTATATTGCTCCCAGCATCTGCAATATATTTCTTATCCTGTGATCAATATATGACATGAGTCTGCTTATACAAAAGGAGATCATTTTCTGATTATAATTCATCATTACATCAGTGTATATACATAATATATATAATTTTAGTTTTACCTAATTGAAATTATTTTAGCTAATTACCTAATACAGTTTTCTGTCTTTTGGGATTGGTTATGTAAATACTGTTTTTATGGATCACTGCATTAAATGCACCTTATAAGAAATGGATGTTAGTTTATATTTTTTTTGTGAGTTGAAGGTTGATGTCTGAATCAGTTTGCTGTCAATGCAACATGCTCTTAGTGTTACTATCACATGTTGATAATTACCATCAGATTACCATGGAAACAGCCTTAATTTGACCGCCTTACACGGTTTCCTGGTTAAATAGTACAGCAAACTGTTGTTGAAGTTTTGTGAAATGAGTGGTATTTTATGTTTTACCAGAGTTAGCTCCTCTTCCACTAGTACATGTAATTGTAATGATATATATGTGTTGAAAATAGTTTGTAATTTTAAAACTTTATGATATTTGTCACACATTTATGTAAATTGATATGATTGAAAGATTATATTTTGGACTTTTGATCAAAGTTTCAGGGATTACATTAGGTATTGTAAAGTTAGTTTGTCTGACTCTGATCGTCAGTGTCTTGAAAATCAATCTACAGCTAAAATGTATAGACAATCTGTTCCTTATTTTCATAACCAAGTTTAGAAACAACAAATAGATGTCTTTGTTTTGATGGTGAAAGTTTGCTGTGTTATGGTCAATGTTATGAATACAGTTCTGCATAAGGAATCTTTGTTTTAATAGATTAATTTAGGTAATTTCTTGTGCATAGTAAGAATAATAATGAAAATGTTGATGTTAGGACTCTGTGTAGGATTTTTTGTTACATGTACATTAAATATTATACATTTGTTGTCTGGGTTTGAGGTGTTACATGTGTTATGTTAACTGAAAATCCAGTCTGCAAATGTTTTGTTAAACCTTCTACCGTTTATATCTAAGAAAACAGTTCTGTCCATGCTTAATGGCGGCATTTGTCATGTAACAGCCAGGAAGTACTCAACAGTGATGAGCTGTGACGTAAGCAGTCAACATCGAGATGTTGATCGGTAACCATTGTTCTGGGGCAAACATTTAGAATTTCAGACTAAATTCACTATAGAAAAGTATAGAGAATGCATAGTAAAGGTTTAACAAACTCCTCTTTGATATAATTATTATTTATTGATTTTAGCAGTTAATGCTGTGGTAACATTTGCGAGGCCATGTTGGAGAGTTTCCCTGCATTGTTAAGTAAATGAAGACTGATGTTGAATGTAATAAGAGCATTAGTTTGTGTTGCGATTCATTCATGACTGGTGATTAGTTTTCATGTTTATGTAAATCTTCTGACTTTTTTTTAATTACACAAGGAGCAGTATGGAAGATATTGTTTATTAAACACGATTATTTATAGTTATTCATTGAATATATTTCATGTTCTTAATAACAGAAAATCTTGACAAAAAAATGTGTTGCATTATCTGATTAAGCCTGGATATATTTTTCATTCTTTGTCATGGTTTACTCTTATTGGTGTTTGGAAGATTTGATATCCAGGGTGATGGGTATGATGTCATCAAAAATGTGAAAACTCAAAAGTGAAATCCTTATGTGTTGTATCAATACTTATTCTGTAAATGAAGAGACTGTTGGATAATTACGTTGATATATATATATGCTTCCAACATTCTGTTTTTGTGATTTGCGTGATATCAAGGTGAAAGTTACTTGACAAAATGTGTTCCTATAGAGTGGTCCATAGATAATTTAAATTCAACCTTTCCCTGCTAACATTGACCCACATTATGTGTTTTTAGGACTGCCAAATATCAGTAGTCATACAGAGTTATGCCCCTTTATAAACAGCAATAGACATAGATGTATTATTAGTTATATCAATACAAATGTCTAATTTGCTCCCTAAAAGCATTTCTAGATCCAGAATTGAAATTTATGGACTGGTGAGTATAAATAGCATTGTAGAAATCTTTTTCCCAGTATTTTGTCCAGACTTTGAGTTTTACCAGACAATCACTGTCTGGATTATCACAGGTCCACTGTATAAATACACAGCCTTCTGTTGTAAGGCCTGTATCAGTCATTGTGTTCTGCCCTTACATTTTCAACATATGTACTATACAGGTAACAGGAGTATATGCAAACTATGTTAAGATGCAAATTTTACATAAGATATTTTTACATGCATACATATTAAAGAATTGTATAGAATAGAATAAAGATACATTGTCACAGTGTAGCTGTAGTAATGATAGATATTGATATAAACATTGGTTGTAGTAATTTAAATTTTACTCTTTATTACAATAACATGTTCCCTCTGGCATTATTGTCTTTGAAGTAATTACACAAGTCATTACTACACTCTGATAAAGTCCAACCTGGTTATCTCGAACTTGTATAAATCAAAGACCCTGTTTAAATGAAAGCATTCTGTTCATCCCTGCGAAACTTTAAACAAAATATTGGAACTCACCTACATCAAATACTTGGATATCTTGAAGTTTTCCCATGGTCCAGTCAGGTTCGAGATAACAAGGTTTGACTGTATCATCACACTAATATTATTAGAGTGTGGGTTTGGCTAATGTAAATGCTGTATTACATGCACTTGTTTTGTTTTAGAATATTTTGTTGTGACGAAGGGACTGGGCACAAGTTTTTAAACTTTTTTGAAGCCCTTGTCCATGCAATTGTCTGGTTACGTAGTCCACAACGAGGTATAGTTTAACATGCACAAACACTTTTCTTACAGGTATTTATACAAATTTAAGGTTCGGGATATGTTGTGATTTTGGACGAATACATTCAGGTGTTCTCTGTATGCTTCCATGGTTTTAAGGAAAGTTGAAAAGTGCCTAATATATCACTCCTAGACATTTATTTATAGAGACAATATTTATGTATATATTTGATTTTTTAGTTTAGGGTTGCCTGAAGCTAAACTACAAAGTAAACTTTATTTAAAAATCAGGTGTCCTTCACTAGTAGCTCCATAGCCTGGGATCAATTTGTTACTGCCAACACAACACAACTGTATGGTTAACACTGCCACAGTTTGATAACTTAGACAACTTTGCCAATTTAAATCTATAAGGTTTTTTTTAACCTGTCAGCTTACACTATTAAGTAGTATTTTAATTTTTGTCAGTAGAAATCTTTTCTTTGGTAACCACAAAACTTGCTTTCAGCTATATTGGTACATGCTGTTCATTGTTAACAACACTGTAAAGCATGTTTAGTTGTGATTTATTGCTCAAAAAGGAAATCCATTTGAATATCCCTTGTATTCTTTTGTTTATTGAGATGATCAGGGAATTGTGATATAAGCATTATATATATAGTTTTGTACCAGTTTTGTGAAAAGAAAAAATTATTTGTAACCAATAAAGGTTATGATATTGTGCTAACAGTTAAAATCAAGGCTAGATATACATGATATTTGTGTTCTAATTATAATTACACTTAAACTTCCTCGATAATTTTTACATATCTTATCCAGTGCTAGTGTAATTACAACCGTTGTACATAATTTTTATTTTGACCACATGTATAATAACACCTAGTGGAGGTTTGATTGGTTGAAAGTTTGGTTATTTTAATTGTAATATCATAATTAACTTCACGACAACAAATTTATAATGATATCATAAAAAATAAATAGCAGTGATATTGCCTTTTTGGAATTTACATCTGCTAATAAATTACTGGTTTTATGAATAGTTGCAAAATTATCTATGTTCTGTGATAAACAGAATAAACAAAATCTTACATCTATTTTCATTTCATTTGAGTTTTATGAAATTTGTCACATTTGTTTTACCTGATAAAGTAGAAATTCCCTGATTTGCTTTAATTAATCTGATAAGAAATGTCAAGACAGGGTATATATTCTGGTCTTAGGACAGAGTTTGTTTTCTTGTCTTAAGACAGAGTCTAGATTCTTGTCTTCAGACAGTCTATATTCTTGCCTTCAGACAGAATTTAGATTATTGTCTTCAGACAGTGTCTATATTCTTGTCCTAAGACAGTGTCTATATTCTTGTCTAAAAAATCAATATTCTTATCTATCCCTTTTTTTTTTTTCGTTTGTGTGATTTTACCGTTAATGATGTTTTGCAGCATTTTTGAAAGTATTTAAAAAAGTGTTGCCATATTTTTTTTTCGACAGTTTTGACCTGATGTTAACAGGCCATATTTACCTTCCATAGGTATGCAGGACCAATGTCCTTGTGTATAACTGTAAACCAATATTTATTACACTTTTATATCCATCTAAATCTGTGGAGGCATTATAAAGTCATCTTGTGTATTTCCAGTATAAATATGCCGGTGAGGCTTGACAAAAATAGGGATAATTAAATTCATATTGTTGTCCAGTATCTCAGCTGATTATTACTGCTACCTAAATATTGTTAGACAAGGGGAAAGATCAAACAAAATTAAAACAACCTGGGGGTGGGGGTGGTTTCATTCACCTGTAAACTTAAAGAAGTTTGAAGTTTGTTTTGAACATTTATCCAGATCAAAATGGTTTAATATGGCAGTGAAAAAGATCAGGTTTAATTTGAAACAAAATGAAAAAATAAAATGAATTATATGATTGATGACTCAGAATGCTACAGCGGGAATATAAATTAATTTTCAAGATAAAAAATTGAAATTCCTGTAGATGTTAATTAGTGAGGCAATAAACATCATGTTTATTCTATTAGGTATTAAATTTAAACAATTTATTGATAAATTATTTTTGCTTAAATTTGCAAAAGATTGGTTAACAAGTAAATTGGATAATTTTTACAGAACTAATTGTGAATTATTGAAAGTGAAATATGTCACATTTTGACCGCAGTTGAGTGTTTTGTTAAAGCATGCTTGGGTTCATCCAGAAAGTTTGTTTCATTTGAAATTTGTTGTTGACACTATCTATGCACCAAGACTAAAAAGTCTAATCTTGTTAAAATAAAATTCATATAAAAAACTTTGTCTCTGTTTTAAATAGAGAATCTGAAAATGACAAATATATAGAATCGAAATCATGTGAGGCTTTTTGTGGAAAAATGAATTTGAACAAATATCTTAATTGATGTATTTTATTTATCAAATATAAACAATTAGCAAAGGTATATAAATGTGTTAAAATTCATGTTTCGCGGAGATGTAATAATGGTAAGGAACATATTTCAATTACATATTTCTACACCTTAAATTTATACATAGTATAGATAAATGGACAAGCGAAAACAATATCTTGTACACAATACCTTATTGTTGGGGATAATGTCGAACTCTAAATAACAATGACTAGATATTTGGTTACACTGTATGTTGAAACTAATCGAAATCCCCCTTAATGTCCCCATTATTTGTAATATTACACATGTACAGTAAACTCTCCTTATCTCGAAGTCGGCGGAACCTTGTGAAAACATTGAGTATCCGAGTACTCGTTTGAAGTTGGAATGGTTAGTGTGAAATTTGGTCGGAACGATGAAAAACGGAGCCTTCGAGTTATAAGAGTTCGAGATAACGAGGTTGGACTGTAGAAAGTGTAACACTTTTGTTTCACCCTGTCCGTTTACAAATTTCTGGATTGACTCCGCTTCAGGGCAATCTACATTCTGCGGAGTCAAATAGTAATTTAATTGTCAAAAGACAATCGATCAGAACTACTCGAATACATGTAGTTACCTACGGCATATTTTCATTAATATTACTGACACAGAATGCGGTACTACCTATAAACTCTCCTTCTGACCTTCAAACGACGACTAATTACGGAAACGAAACATGATTTGAGAAGGTAAATAAACACTATCTCTCATCGTTACAGATGTCATTTTTTAAGACGAAGATGTGAAAGCAGATCATCTAGATATGGTCCAAATCAATTGAAATATTTCCACTTATGAATGAGATATACCTTATGCTCAGCCTGCATTGTTACACAGTGATAGGGCGGAACTATACAACATCGATACTAAATTATGCCCGGAACATCAAATCCCAGGTTAAACATATCACAATTTAGTATAACACCTCCAGACAATGAAATCCGGATAAGAGAAATATCACTTAAACATTTCCAGACGGTATCCAGTGTGGATCTGAGTTAACGAGAGATAACTATAACCCACCGGACTGTAGAGAATCTGTATAAAAGAAACATCGTTGTAATACACCTGGCTTACTTTGCACCAATACTGAATTGTCCGCACTAGACAAATAACCCGAGGGCAATATATTTATGGAATAACAAGCGATAGTATCACAGTCTTTGAGAATTACTTAAGAAATCTTGACTTGACATCATAAGTAAAATAAAAGCACCACAACACTTGTAGGTAAAACGTACATAAATATTTGTATACGTAAATACACTGACATCACGCCACTATCAAAGTTGACGGTAAGCTGCTTTGAAAGTGCAGACTCAGACGTTGGCGTTTCAAGTGACGTCACAGATGTTTGAGAAGTTGTGATTGGTATTCCATCTGTCGACAAAGCTGTTCCAGCGCCTGCAGATGATGTTCCATCTGTGTTCAACGATGTAGCGACGGTTGACAAGGATGTTCCGTCTGTAGTCAGAGATGTCCCACCAGTTGTAGATGATATTCTATTTGTGGCCAGAGACGATCCACCAGTTGTAGATGATACTCCATCTGTAGTCACAAATGTTCCACCAGTTGTAGATGATACTCCATCTGTAGTCACAGACGTCCCACCAGTTGTAGATGATACTCCATCTGTAGTCACAGACGTCCCACCAGTTGAAGATGATACTCCATCTGTAGTCACAGACGATCCACCAGTTGTAGATGATACTCCATCTGTAGTCACAGACGTCCCACCAGTTGAAGATGATATTCCATCTGTAGTCACAGACGTTCCACCAGTTGTAGATGATACTCCATCTGTAGTCACAGACGTTCCAGATGTTGTAGATGATACTCCATCTGTAGTCACAGACGATCCATCAGTTGTAGATGATACTCCATCTGTGGCTAGAGACGTCCCACCAGTTGTAGATGATACTCCATCTGTAGTCACAGACGTCCCACCAGTTGTAGATGATACTCCATCCGTAGTTACAGACGATCCATCAGTTGTAGATGATACTCCATCTGTAGTCACAGACGTCCCACCAGTTGTAGATGATACTCCATCTGTAGTCACAGACGTCCCACCAGTTGTAGATGATACTCCATCTGTAGTCACAGACGTCCCACCAGTTGTAGATGATACTCCATCTGTAGTCACAGACGTCCCACCAGTTGTAGATGATACTCCATCTGTAGTCACAGACGTCCCACCAGTTGTAGATGATACTCCACTTGTAGTCACAGACGTTCCACCTGTTGTAGATGATACTTCATCTGTAGTTACAGACGGTCCACCAGTTGAAGATGATACTCCATCTGTGGTCACAAACGTTCCACCAGTTGTAGATGATACTCCATCTGTAGTCACAGACGTTCCAGATGTTGTAGATGATACTCCATCTGTAGTCACAGACGTCCCACCAGTTGTAGATGATACTCCATCTGTAGTCACAGACGTTCCAGATGTTGTAGATGATACTCCATCTGTAGTCACAGACGTTCTACCAGTTGTAGATGATACTCCATCTGTAGTCGCAGATGTTCCACCAGCTGTAGATGATATTCCATCTGTGGCCAGAGACGTCCTACCAGTTGTAGATGATACTCCATCTGTAGTCACAGACGATCCACCAGTTGTAGATGATACTCCATCTGTAGTCACAGACGTTCCAGATGTTGTAGATGATATTACATCTGTGGTCACAGACGTTCCACCAGTTGTAGATGATACTCCATCTGTAGTCACAGACGTTCCAGATGTTGTAGATGATACTCCATCTGTAGTCACAGACGTCCCACCAGTTGTAGATGATACTCCATCTGTAGTCACAGACGATCCACCAGTTGTAGATGATACTCCATCTGTAGTCACAGACGATCCACCAGTTGTAGATGATACTCCATCTGTAGTCACAGACGTCCCACCAGTTGTAGATGATACTCCATCCGTAGTTACAGACGATCCATCAGTTGTAGATGATACTCCATCTGTAGTCACAGACGTCCCACCAGTTGTAGATGATACTCCATCTGTAGTCACAGACGTCCCACCAGTTGTAGATGATACTCCATCTGTAGTCACAGACGTCCCACCAGTTGTAGATGATACTCCATCTGTAGTCACAGACGTCCCACCAGTTGTAGATGATACTCCATCTGTAGTCACAGACGTCCCACCAGTTGTAGATGATACTCCACTTGTAGTCACAGACGTTCCACCTGTTGTAGATGATACTTCATCTGTAGTTACAGACGGTCCACCAGTTGAAGATGATACTCCATCTGTGGTCACAAACGTTCCACCAGTTGTAGATGATACTCCATCTGTAGTCACAGACGTTCCAGATGTTGTAGATGATACTCCATCTGTAGTCACAGACGTCCCACCAGTTGTAGATGATACTCCATCTGTAGTCACAGACGTTCCAGATGTTGTAGATGATACTCCATCTGTAGTCACAGACGTTCTACCAGTTGTAGATGATACTCCATCTGTAGTCGCAGATGTTCCACCAGCTGTAGATGATATTCCATCTGTGGCCAGAGACGTCCTACCAGTTGTAGATGATACTCCATCTGTAGTCACAGACGATCCACCAGTTGTAGATGATACTCCATCTGTAGTCACAGACGTTCCAGATGTTGTAGATGATATTACATCTGTGGTCACAGACGTTCCACCAGTTGTAGATGATACTCCATCTGTAGTCACAGACGTTCCAGATGTTGTAGATGATACTCCATCTGTAGTCACAGACGTCCCACCAGTTGTAGATGATACTCCATCTGTAGTCACAGACGATCCACCAGTTGTAGATGATACTCCATCTGTAGTCACAGACGATCCACCAGTTGTAGATGATACTCCATCTGTAGTCACAGACGTTCTACCAGTTGTAGATGATACTCCATCTGTAGTCGCAGATGTTCCACCAGCTGTAGATGATATTCCATCTGTGGCCAGAGACGTCCTACCAGTTGTAGATGATACTCCATCTGTAGTCACAGACGATCCACCAGTTGTAGATGATACTCCATCTGTAGTCACAGACGTTCCAGATGTTGTAGATGATATTACATCTGTGGTCACAGACGTTCCACCAGTTGTAGATGATACTCCATCTGTAGTCACAGACGTTCCAGATGTTGTAGATGATACTCCATCTGTAGTCACAGACGTCCCACCAGTTGTAGATGATACTCCATCTGTAGTCACAGACGATCCACCAGTTGTAGATGATACTCCATCTGTAGTCACAGACGATCCACCAGTTGTAGATGATACTCCATCTGTAGTCACAGACGTTCCACCAGTTGTAGATGATACTCCATCTGTAGTCACAGACGTTCTACCAGTTGAAGATGATACTCCATCTGTAGTCACAGACGTTCCAGATGTTGTAGATGATATTACATCTGTGGTCACAGACGATCTACCAGTTGTAGATGATACTCCATCTGTAGTCACAAACGTTCTACCAGTTGTAGATGATACTCCATCTGTAGTCACAGACGTTCCAGATGTTGTAGATGATATTACATCTGTGGTCACAGACGATCCACCAGTTGTAGATGATACTCCATCTGTAGTCACAGACGTTCCACCAGTTGTAGATGATACTCCATCTGTAGTCGCAGACGTTCCACCAGTTGTAGATGATACTCCATCTGTAGTCACAGACGTCCCACCAGTTGTAGATGATACTCCATCTGTAGTCACAGACGATCCACCAGTTGTAGATGATACTCCATCTGTAGTCACAGACGATCCACCAGTTGTAGATGATACTCCATCTGTAGTCACAGACGTTCCACCAGTTGTAGATGATACTCCATCTGTAGTCACAAACGTTCTACCAGTTGTAGATGATACTCCATCTGTAGTCACAGACGTTCCAGCAGTTGTAGATGATATTACATCTGTGGTCACAGACGTTCCAGCAGTTGTAGATGATACTCCATCTGTAGTCACAGACGTCCCACCAGTTGTAGATGATACTCCATCTGTAGTCACAGACGATCCACCAGTTGAAGATGATATTCCATCTGTAGTCACAGACGTCCCACCAGTTGTAGATGATACTCCATCTGTAGTCACAGACGTCCCACCAGTTGTAGATGATACTCCATCTGTAGTCACAGACGTTCCAGCAGTTGTAGATGATACTCCATCTGTAGTCACAGACGTCCCACCAGTTGTAGATGATACTCCATCTGTAGTCACAGACGTCCCACCAGTTGTAGATGATATTCCATCTGTGGTCACAGACGTCCCACCAGTTGTAGATGATACTCCATCTGTAGTCACAGACGTTCCACCAGTTGTAGATGATATTCCATCTGTGTAGTCACCATGACGTAGTCCAGACGTTCCACCAGTTGTAGATGATACTCCATCTGTAGTCACAGACATTCCATCAGTTGTAGATGATACTCCATCTGTAGTCACAGACGTCCCACCAGTTGTAGATGATACTCCATCTGTAGTCACAGACGTTCCAGCAGTTGTAGATGATATTCCATCTGTGGTCACAGATGTTCCACCTGTTGTAGATGATACTCCATCTGTAGTCACAGACGTTCCACCTGTTGTAGATGATACTCCATATGTAGTCACAGACGTTCCAGATGTTGTAGATGATACTCCATCTGTAGTCACAGACGTTCCAGATGTTGTAGATGATATTACATCTGTGGTCACAGACGATCCACCAATTGTAGATGATACTCCATCTGTAGTCACAGACGTCCCACCAGTTGTAGATGATACTCCATCTGTAGTCGCAGACGATCCACCAGTTGTAGATGATGCTCCATCTGTAGTCACAGACGTTCCAACAGTTATAGATGATACTCCATCTGTAGTCACAGACGATCCACCAATTGTAGATGATACTCCATCTGTAGTCACAGACGTCCCACCAGTTGTAGATGATACTCCATCTGTAGTCACAGACGTTCCACCAATTGTAGATGATACTCCATCTGTAGTCACAGACGTTCCACCAGTTGTAGATGATACTCCATCTGTAGTCACAGACGTTACACCAGTTGTAGATGATACTCCATCTGTAGTCACAGACGTTCTACCAGTTGTAGATGATACTCCATCTGTAGTTACAGACGTTCCATCAGTAGTAGATGATACTCCATCTGTAGTTACAGACGTTACACCAGTTGTAGATGATACTCCATCTGTAGTCACAGACGTTCTACCAGTTGTAGATGATACTCCATCTGTAGTTACAGACGTTCCACCAGTTGTAGATGATACTCCATCTGTAGTCACAGACGTTCCACCAGTTGTAGATGATACTCCATCTGTAGTCACAGACGTTACACCAGTTGTAGATGATACTCCATCTGTAGTCACAGACGTTCCAGCAGTTGTAGATGATACTCCATCTGTAGTCACAGACGTTACAGATGTTGTAGATGATACTCCATCTGTAGTCACAGACGTTCCATCAGTTGTAGATGATACTCCATCTGTAGTCGCAGACGTTCCACCAGTTGTAGATGATACTCCATCTGTAGTCACAGACGTTCCACCAGTTGTAGATGATACTCCATCTGTAGTCACAGACGTTCTACCAGTTGTAGATGATACTCCATCTGTAGTTACAGACGTTCCATCAGTAGTAGATGATACTCCATCTGTAGTCACAGACGTTCCACCCGTTGTAGATGATACTCCATCTGTAGTCGCAGACGTTCCACCAGTTGTAGATGATACTCCATCTGTAGTCACAGACGTTCTACCAGTTGTAGATGATACTCCATCTGTAGTTACAGACGTTCCATCAGTAGTAGATGATACTCCATCTGTAGTCGCAGACGTTCCACCTGTTGTAGATGATACTCCATCTGTAGTCACAGACGTCCCACCAGTTGTAGATGATACTCCATCTGTAGTCACAGACGTTCCACCAGTTGTAGATGATACTCCATCTGTAGTCGCAGACGATCCACCAGTTGTAGATGATACTCCATCTGTAGTCACAGAAGTTCCAGATGTTGTAGATGACATTCCATCTGTAGTCACAGACGGTTCACTAGTTGTAGATGATACTCCATCTGTAGTCACAGACGAGCCACCAGTTGTAGATGATATTCCATCTGTAGTCACAGACATTCCATCAGTTGTAGATGATATTCCATCTGTAGTCACAGACGAGCCACCAGTTGTAGATGATACTCCATCTGTAGTCACAGACGATCCACCAATTGTAGATGATACTCCATCTGTAGTCACAGACGTTCCACGAGTTGTAGATGATACTCCATCTGTAGTCGCAGACGTTCCACCAGTTGTAGATGATACTACTTCTGTATTCACAGACGATCCACCAGTTGTAGATGATACTCCATCTGTAGTCACAGACGTTCCACCAGTTGTAGATGATACTCCATCTGTAGTCACAGACGGTCCACCAGTTGTAGATGATACTCCATCTGTAGTCACAGACGGTCCACCAGTTGTAGATGATACTCCATCTGTAGTCACAGAAGTTCCAGATGTTGTAGATGACAATCCATCTGTGGTCACAGACGGTCCACTAGTTGTAGATGATATTCCATCTGTAGTCACAGACGAGCCACCAGTTGTAGATGATACTCCATCTGTAGTCACAGACGTTCCACCAGTTGTAGATGATACTCCATCTGTAGTCGCAGACGTTCCACCAGTTGTAGATGATACTACTTCTGTAGTCACAGACGATCCACCAGTTGTAGATGATACTCCATCTGTAGTCACAGAAGTTCCAGATGTTGTAGATGACATTCCATCTGTAGTCACAGACGGTCCACTAGTTGTAGATGATACTCCATCTGTAGTCACAGACGAGCCACCAGTTGTAGATGATATTCCATCTGTAGTCACAGACATTCCATCAGTTGTAGATGATATTCCATCTGTAGTCACAGACGAGCCACCAGTTGTAGATGATACTCCATCTGTAGTCACAGACGATCCACCAATTGTAGATGATACTCCATCTGTAGTCACAGACATTCCATCAGTTGTAGATGATATTCCATCTGTAGTCACAGACGTTCCACCAGTTGTAGATGATACTCCATCTGTAGTCACAGACGTTCCACCAGTTGTAGATGATACTCCATCTGTAGTCACAGACGATCCACCAGTTGTAGATGATACTCCATCTGTAGTCACAGAAGTTCCAGATGTTGTAGATGACATTCCATCTGTGGTCACAGAAGTTTCTCTAGTTGTAGATGATATTCCATCTGTAGTCACAAATGTTCCATCAGTTGTAGATGATATTCCATCTGTAGTCACAAATGTTCCATCAGTTGTAGATGATATTCCATCTGTAGTCACAGACGAGCCACCAGTTGTAGATGATACTCCATCTGTAGTCACAGACGATCCACCAATTGTAGATGATACTCCATCTGTAGTCACAGACGTTCCACGAGTTGTAGATGATACTCCATCTGTAGTCGCAGACGTTCCACCAGTTGTAGATGATACTACTTCTGTATTCACAGACGATCCACCAGTTGTAGATGATACTCCATCTGTAGTCACAGACGTTCCACCAGTTGTAGATGATACTCCATCTGCAGTGACAGACGATCCACCAGTTGTAGATGATACTCCATCTGTAGTCACAGACGGTCCACCAGTTGTAGATGATACTCCATCTGTAGTCACAGAAGTTCCAGATGTTGTAGATGACAATCCATCTGTGGTCACAGACGGTCCACTAGTTGTAGATGATATTCCATCTGTAGTCACAGACGAGCCACCAGTTGTAGATGATACTCCATCTGTAGTCACAGACGTTCCACCAGTTGTAGATGATACTCCATCTGTAGTCGCAGACGTTCCACCAGTTGTAGATGATACTACTTCTGTAGTCACAGACGATCCACCAGTTGTAGATGATACTCCATCTGTAGTCACAGAAGTTCCAGATGTTGTAGATGACATTCCATCTGTAGTCACAGACGGTCCACTAGTTGTAGATGATACTCCATCTGTAGTCACAGACGAGCCACCAGTTGTAGATGATATTCCATCTGTAGTCACAGACATTCCATCAGTTGTAGATGATATTCCATCTGTAGTCACAGACGAGCCACCAGTTGTAGATGATACTCCATCTGTAGTCACAGACGATCCACCAATTGTAGATGATACTCCATCTGTAGTCACAGACATTCCATCAGTTGTAGATGATATTCCATCTGTAGTCACAGACGATCCACCAATTGTAGATGATACTCCATCTGTAGTCACAGACGTCCCACCAGTTGTAGATGATACTCCATCTGTAGTCACAGACGTCCCACCAGTTGTAGATGATACTCCATCTGTAGTCACAGACGATCCACCAGTTGAAGATGATACTCCATCTGTAGTCACAGACGTCCCACCAGTTGTAGATGATACTCCATCTGTAGTCACAGACGTCCCACCAGTTGTAGATGATACTCCATCTGTAGTCACAGACGTTCCAGCAGTTGTAGATGATACTCCATCTGTAGTCACAGACGTCCCACCAGTTGTAGATGATACTCCATCTGTAGTCACAGACGTCCCACCAGTTGTAGATGATACTCCATCTGTAGTCGCAGATGTTCCACGGGTTGTAGATGATATTCCATCTGTAGTCAGAGACGTTCCATCAGTTGTAGAAGATACTCCATCTGTAATCACAGACGTTCCATCAGTTGTAGATGATAATCCATTGGTACTCTGCGATGTTCCGACGGTTGTAGTGGATGACGCATCTGTACTCTCCGATGTTCCGACGGTTGTAGTGGATGACGCATCTGTACTTTCCGATGTTCCGACGGTTGTAGTGGATGATCTATCTGTACTCTCCGATGTTCCGACGGTTGCAGTGAATGACGCATCTGCACTTTCCGATGTTCCGATGGTTGAACTGGATGATACATCTGTACTCTCCGATGTTCCGACGGTTGAAGTGGATGACCCATCTGTACTATCATGTGACACAACGGTGGAATCAGATGACCAATCTGTACTCTCCGATGTTCCGACGGTTGAAGTGGATGACTCATACGTAGTCTCCGTTGATCCGACGGTTGTAGTGGATGATCCATCTTTACTATCAGATGTCACAACGGTGGAAACAGATGAACCATCTGTACTGAACGTGGTTCCGACGGTAGAAGTGGATGACCCATCTATACTCTCCGATGTTCCGACGGTTGAACTGGATGACCCATCTGTACTCTCCGATGATCCGACGGTTGTAGTGGTTGAAACATCTGTACTCTCCGATGTCACAACGGTTGCAGTGAATGACCATCTGTACTCTCAAGTGTTCCGACGGTTGTGGTGGATGACCCATCTGCACTCTCCGATGTACCGACGGTTGTGGTGGATGATCCATCTGCACTCTCCGATGTACCGACGGTTGTGGTGGATGATCCATCTGTACTCTCCGATGTTCCGACAGTTGAACTGGATGACCCATTTGAAATGTCCGATGTTCCGAAGGTTGTAGTGGATGATCTATCTGTACTCTCCGATGTTCCGACGGTTGCAGTGAATGAGGCATCTGTACTCTCCGATGTTCCGGAGGTTGAAGTGGATGACCCATCTGTACTCTCCGATGTTCCGACGGTTGAACTGGATGACTCATCTGTACTCTCCGATGTTCCGACGGTTGAACTGGATGGCCCATCTGTACTCTCCGATGTTCCGACGGTTGAAGTGGATGACCCATCTGTACTCTCCGATGTTCCGACCCATCTGTACTCTCCGATGTTCCGACGGTTGTAGTGGATGACCCATCTGTACTCTCCGATGTTCCGACGGTTGCAGTGGATGACGCATCTGTACTCTCCGATGTTCCGACGGTTGAACTGGATGACTCATATGTAGTCTCCGATGATCCGACGGTTGTAGTGGATGATCCATCTGTACTCTCCGATGTTCCGACGGTTGAACTGGATGACCCATCTGTACTCTCCGATGTTCCGACCGTTGAACTGGATGACCCATCTGTACTCTCCGATGATCCGAGTGTTGTAATCGCTGATACATCTGTACTATCAGATATCACAACGTTGGAAACAGACGAACTATCTGTACTGAACGTGGTTCCGACGGTTTTAGTGGATGACCCATCAGTACTTTCCGATGTTCCGACGGTTGAAGCGGATGACCCATCTGTACTCTCCGATGTTCTGTCGGTTGAACTGGATGACCCATCTGTACTCTCCGATGATCCGACTGTTGTAATCGCTGATACATCTGTACTATCAGATGTCACAACGTTGGAAGCGGATGAACCATCTGTACTCTCAAGTGTTCCGACGGTTGAACTGGATGACCCATCTGTACTCTCCGGTGTTCCAACGGTTGTAGTGGTTGACCCATCTGTACTCTCCGATGTTTCGACGGTTGTGGTGGATGACCCATCTGCACTCTCCGATGTTCCGACGGTTGAACTGGATGACCCATCTGTACTCTCCGATGTTCCGACGATTGAACTGGATGACCCATCTGTACTCTCCGATGTTCCGACGGTTGTAATGGCTGATCCATCTGTACTCTCCGATGTTCCGACGGTTGTAATGGATGATCCATCTATACTCTCTGATGTTCCGACGGTTGTAATGGATGATCCATCTAAACTCTCTGATGTTCCGACGGTTGTAGTCGATGACCCATCTGTACTCTCCGATGTTCCGACGGTTGTAGTGGATGACCGATCTGTACTCTCCGATGTTCCGACGGTTGTAGTCGATGACCGGTTGTAGTGGATGACCCATCTGTACTCTCCGATGTTCCGACGGTTGTAGTCGATGACCGATCTGTACTCTCCGATGTTCCGACGGTTGTAATGGATGATCCATCTATACTCTCTGATGTTCCGACGGTTGTAGTCGATGACCGATCTGTACTCTCCGATGTTCCGACGGTTGTAGTGGATGACCCATCTGTACTCTCCGATGTTCCGACGGTTGTAGTCGATGACCGATCTGTACTCTCCGATGTTCCGACGGTTGTAGTCGATGACCGATCTGTACTCTCCGATGTTCCGACGGTTGTAGTGGATGATCCGACGGTTGTAGTGGATGATCCATTTGTACTATTAGATGTCACAACGGTGGAATCAGATGAACCATCTGTACTCTCCGATGTTCCGACGGTTGTAGTGGATGACCCATCTGTACTCTCCGATGTTCCGACGGTTGTAGTGGATGACCCATCTGTACTCTCCGATGTTCCGACGGTTGTAGTGGATGACCCATCTGTACTCTCCGATGTTCCGACGGTTGTAGTGGATGACCCATCTGTACTCTCCGATGTTCCGACGGTTGTAGTGGATGACCGATCTGTACTCTCCGATGTTCCGACGGTTGTAGTGGATGATCCATCTATACTCTCTGATGTTCCGACGGTTGTAGTGGATGACCCATCTGTACTCTCCGATGTTCCGACGGTTGTAGTGGATGATCTATCTGTACTCTCTGATGTTCCGACGGTTGTAGTCGATGACCGATCTGTACTCTCCGATGTTCCGACGGTTGTAGTGGATGACCCATCTGTACTGGGCCATGTTCCGACGATGGCAGTAGATGCTTCGTCGTTGTTGATTGGTGTTTCCGGAGTTGTAGAGGATGTTCCATCATTTGGCAGATGTGTCCCAGCAGAGGATGATACAGCAGATGTGATAGATGTTCCAATTGAAGTTATAGATATACCAGTGGTTGTATTGGAATGTTCTAAAGATGTCGATGGTCCTGCTGCGGTCATTGATGTTGCTGTGGTTGTGTTTGTAGTTCTAGCTGTTGTAGTGGGTGTTTCCACAGGGACAATTGATGTTGCTGTGGTTGTGTTTGTTGTTCCAGCTGTTGTAGTGGGTGTTTCCACTGTGGTCATTGATGTTGCTGTGGTTGTGTTTGTAGTTCCAGCTGTTGAAGTGGGTGTTTCCACTGAGGTCATTGATGTGTCTGTGGTTGTGTTTGTAGTTCCAGCTGTTGAAGTGGGTGTTTCCACTGTGGTCATTGATGTTGCTGTGGTTGTGTTTGTAGTTCCAGCTGTTGAAGTGGGTGTTTCCACTGAGGTCATTGATGTGTCTGTGGTTGTGTTTGTAGTTCCAGCTGTTGTAGTGGGTGTTTCCACTAAGGTCATTGATGTTTCTGTGGTTGTGTTTGTTGTTCCAGCTGTTGTATTGGGTGTTTCCACTGAGGTCATTGGTGTTGCTGTGATTGTGTTTGTTGTTCCAGCTGTTGTAGTGGGTGTTTCATCTGTAAAAACATTTGTTTCAGCTGTTGTAGTGGGTGTTTCCACTGAAGTCATTAATGTTGCTGTGGTTGTATTGGAGATTACCTTTGTAGTCACATTTGTCCCATCTGTAGATATTACAGCTGCATTGGTGGATGTTTCACCTGTATTAATAGAATTTCCAGCAGTTGCAGTGATCACAGATGTTCTAGCTGTTAAAGTGGATGTATCCGTGATTGTTGTTGATGATTCATTTGTGGCCATAAATGTTTGAGATGTTGTAACGTGTGTACCAATTGTTGAAGTAGATGTTCCTGCTGTGGTCGGAAGTGTTTGAGCGCTTGCTGTCGACGTTGCATCTGTGGCCAAAGATGTTTCAGCTGTTGTGAATGTTTTTGCACTCGAAGACGATGTTCCATCTGTAACAGTAGACGTTCCAGTGACCGTTACAACTGTTTCACCGGTCAATAATTGTGTTATAGAAGTGGTAGGAGTCGTTACGTCAGGTGTTTCAGAAATTGCCGTAAATAACCCGGAAGTGTTGTTAGAGGGTGTTTCCGTATTGGTTATGATAGGTGGCGTAGCGGATGTTTGCGATGACCCAGTGATGGGGACACTCGATGTTTCTGCTGTTGTTGTAAATGGGCTGTTTGAAAAGAAACACGAATCATAATATTGCTGAAACATTTTACTTTTATCATTATTTTAACCCAAATTATTTCGACTTTTCACTGATGCTGGTTTAATATCATAACTGCTTAAAACGGCAACACATAGATCCTGTGCATGTTATGTCAAAGAATAGATATTATTATAACTCAATAGAAAAATTAATAAATAATTTCAACAAAACTATTTTATAAAACCAATTAGAGGTATCATATGGATTAAATTAACGTATTCGATGACTACTTAAATTCTGTCATTTTTTTTTTACATCATTGAATATTTTCCAGTGTGCTAATGTCTTAGATGTTCGCACTTTGGTACAAACCTATTCTTAGAAAGTGTTGGCCACAACGGAATGACATCGTTTAGTGATAAAATATTGATAAAACCAGACGATGTAATAATTTCTTAGAAGTGAATGTGACACTTGTGTCGCCAAACGGAAAAAAAAAATTATATTTCAATTGTATATCTTTAATTATCTTGACTTTAGCCCTTTGGACCACTGAAAAGTAATTGTAAGCATTCACATTGGATAAAGCAATACCGGTGATGGAATTTCACAGGAACAAAGGATCATACTTTATCCCCCTGACAACCTGAATATCATTAGGTTAAAATGGATTGAGAATCGATATTAGGACTTTCGCGTGGAAGGAAGGGACGTGCTGACATTGTACATATATAATGTATTATTGTCGTTTATTTGTAAATCGCTGTGAAAGAAAATACATGATCAATTATAGGCTACAAGCCTTTATGGGAGTTCTCTATATCTTATTTTGTTAAGAAATTTAAAAAACGCAGACAACCCGTCAGCATGGGGTTCTGTATAAACTTTGACGTAGTAGTGTGATTTTACTTACGTTGTCGAAGCACGTGCTACATGGAGATTCCACCCTGAAAGTAAAAGATTTTTAGTTTCATATTTCAAACGTATAACATGAGTCAATCCCTTCACCTAGATAAATACATGTACAATGTATTACCCCGCCCTCCAAATACCGTTCTCATTTTCCTTGATGATATATTCCTCATCGGTAATTTTAGCTCGACACTCAGATGCTTTCACCCGAAACACTTTCATGATATCCCGATAGAACGTGACATTGTTAATATATATACTGAGTTTGTACTCTGAAGTTTCCTCTCATGCATACGTCGTATTTCACCTTCTAGACGAGTTTCTCCATTTTCCCATGACGAATATCCCACCTATTACATATTTGTGTATCATCATTACCACACTCGTTCCCCTGCACATAACCAATCCGTTCCCGTACCCCAACCGTTCCCTGTCCATCACCCGCTCATCCTCTGTAGCTCAGCAGTTCCCCATGTAACCCATCCATTCTCTATAACCCATTCGTTCCCTATTCATCAGGCCCCTGTAACCAATGTGTTCCTCTGCATATTACCCATACGTTCTCGTGTATCACACCAGTTCCCCTGCACATAACTCCCCCGTTCTCATGTAACTCATCCGTTTAATCTGTGTGTAAAAGATTCGTTCACTGAAACCCATCCGTTTCCCTATCTATAACCAATCCCGGTACATAACCTGCTCATTTTCTGTAACTCATTTGTTTTCCTGTACATAACCAACCCGTTCCCTGTTACTTACCGTTCCCTTGTACATTACCTACTCGTTCCCATGTATTCCATCGGTTCCCCGTACATTATCTGCTCATTTTCTGAAACTCACCAGTTCCTATGCAACTAATTCGTTTCCCTGTACATAACCAACCCGTTCCCTGTTACTTACCGTTCCCCTGTATATAACTCCCCCATTTCACTTTAACTTATCCGTTTACGATCCGTTCCCTGAAACCCATACGTTTCCCTGTACATAAGCTACACGTTCTCTGTAGCTCACCGTTACCCTGTACATAACTCATATGTTCCCTTAAACTCTCCTCTGTACGCATCCTATCCGTTACCTGTAACGTGTCCCTTTCCCCTTTACGATAATGGATAATCACTCCCGTGATATCACATCATATCAGGTGACTGGGTTTAACGAAACTCGCCTAAATTACTAATCTTACAGTGACATTTAAAAAAAATATCTTGAAATTTATATTGGTTGTCGGAATAAAGGTAAATCAAGCCCAAAATTTTCGATTAATCCAAACCAACTTCTAAACCTTACACGACACTAAACCATATATAGATGATCTAAAAACGGGTTTGTGAATTTTTAAACAGTAACAATTGTAAGTAATTATAGGTAATCTTGATTGGGAAAACCGTAAATAAATAATGATTTTTTGGAGTAACTAAACAGATGGGGATATATTCTTCGCATATGTATATTAACTAAATCTGATTAAATACGTAAGGAATGTATGAATTCATCAATATAATTACCATTACTGGTACAACAGAAGCACTCAGTTACGTTCACCTGAAAGCTAAATCGATTAATTTGATGTCCATTATAGCTATGTTAACACTGTTGTTTGCCTTACACTTTGGCCTACATTTTGAAAATCCGATGTACACACACATATTGAAGAGCTACACCTATTTATCTGCATTTATATAAAACAAAAAAATGGGACAGAAACATTTTAAACTGAAAATTCTACTCTTTGTCTATCAGAAATCATTTCAATTTAACAAAGGTAAAACTATGGAAGCATATCCGTGTCATCTTGGTTTCTCTTATATCGTTATAACGGGTAGCTTATCTCGTTATTACGAGATACAAAATGTAGGTTGTCTCGTAAAAAGGGACAAAGCTACATTTTGTATCCAGTAATGACGAGGTCAAAATGGTAAAGATAGCTGTCTGATTATAACGAGATAACATATTTCGTTATAACGAGATTATCTGGTTATTACGAGATCAGCTATCTCATAATGATGAGAAAAAATCAAGGAAATGCGTATAAGCTTTGCAGTTTCGTGATACCACAAAAGTACGTTTTTTTTTATCATATACCAATACAAGATAAGTCATCTTCTACAAAGCGAGAAAGATACATTTTGTATCCAGAATTAACAAGGTAGAAAAATGGTGTATCAACGTAGCTGTCTGATTATAACGAGATACAGATTAAGGGGACGGATTTGTAATTGTGTGATTCAAAGAAAATAAGAAATTATTTTTAATTGTATGCAAAAGTGCAAAATTTAATGGAATTGAAGATAAATAAAGCAATTTTTTTTAACTCTCGGAGAAGTGTCTTCCCTTCTTGGCATTCTAAGATATTATTCTTTAAATAACTTAAAATAATATTTTTTGGGAAAATCAAATTTTCATCAAACTCAAAGTTTCTGGCTCTAGTTGGAAATGACATTTGGAATAATGATAAAATTATACAAGGCTTATGAGAATTTTTTACTGTAGAAAATAATTTCTTTATAACAGACATTGTGGTTTCTCAAAAATTCTTTGACATAAGCTATAAATTGGACTAGGATAATGGAGGGAATTGGTTCGAAGATAAAACGTGTTAAAAATTTCTCAGATAGTTATAAAAAACTCTTGTCCACTTGTTTAATTACGTCTAGTTTGAGATAATTCATACAGGCATGGACACTATCTATCTTTAATACCCCTTCGACATAATTTTATGGAACTAATACAATCTCTAAACTTGCTTATCCTTTCCCGTATATAAAACATGTATGTGTAATATCGCAGAATATTGAATAAGGATATTGCTTAAACTAAAATAATGATGTTGAATAAGCACGTTTTTTTCTCTACATTTACGATTTAAGCAATATATATGAAATTCTTGTGTAATATTTTCCGGATGAGTTGGGTTGATTGATTAACAAATAAAGTTGTAAAATTGACAAGGATTTAATCACAACTATCGGCTAATTGGAGTCAAATTTAGTCTAATCCATATATTGATAATGGCTTTCAATTTAATCTATGTATTTTTTGGTCAAAATTTCTTCAAAAGGAATTTTACTGAGAATTAAAGAAATGTCTGCAAACCAAGAATGTGAATCTGTGTTTACACATGACAGGCAGGTCACCTCACTTTTCTTACTGCTAGGTATTCTTATGTAGACGCTTTTCTAGTATTGATATTTAATTCCGTAATATTTGCATAATTATTCAATTCTGGACTTAATCAGGGACCTGACGTTCATATTGATTTATGTTTATGCTATTATTCTAAATTATTCTAAATTATTATTCTCATATGTTTTCAGCTTTGTCATAGTACTTTCTTGTTCATGTGAAGTTATTTGTATTGAGCATAATTAAGACAAAAAGTGTCCAAACATTTCAAAATATACTTCTGCAATTTCAACTTTGGTAATTTCGGTTGGTGGTATATTGTCTTTGTGTTATAACTGATATGAGAGCATCTGGTTCATTATTTGGACTTTAGTTTCTTCTATAATGGAAAATTGTCTTTCATGCTTTCACTCACTTTGGCAATTTTCTGTTTATCTTTTCGAAGACTAATATCTATGTTTCGATGACAATATACTTCTTAAGCAAAGACAACAAAAACGAGTCAAATCATTTATCATCTCAGATCATAATCAAGAGCTAGGCTACGAGGTAGGGCGAAATTTTCGTACCTGTACGCGTTGATTTAATTTCCAACCAAGCCTTAATCGAATATTTGGAAAATAATGAAATATATATCATTGTGAAACCAAATTAATCGACCAGATAAATAATCTTGATATATACTTACCAAGTGAAAGTAATAGCCAGCCTAGAAGACGCACACGAACCATCTCCAATTAACCATTTAATATTTCACGGGCGTTTACCGCCAGAGCTAACACCTTCCTCATCGGGATCCGAGAATAGAAACTTGTCAACATACCAAGCCATGGTAATCGATGTTATAATCAGATCGGTTAATTCTAATTTATTTCTATCGATTGATATCTGGTTATGTTTTATTTACCGAGGTATGTCTTAATGACAATTATTTCAGATAATAAGAGTTAAGATTACAGAACAAACCGATAGCCGGTGAGAGAACTCTTACTGGAACAGATTTTATAATCTAGCAGGCGTATTGGAATTTGTATGTCGTCGAACTCTTAAATGTCTCCGGTAATCACTAACACAAGAGGATCATCAATATAAAACTAGGGGATCACCGTTATAACTAGTGGATCATCACTATAACTAGAGTATCATCACTATAACTAGAGGATAATCACTATAACTAGAGGATAATCACTATAACTAGGGGATCATCACTATAACTAGGGGATCATCACTATAACTAGAGGATCATCACTATAACTAGTGGATCATCACTATAACTAGAGTATCATCAATATATCTAGAGGATAATCACTATAACTAGAGGATCATCACTATAACTAGAGGATCATCAATATAACTAGAGGATCATCACTTTAACTAAGGGATCATCACTATAACTAGAGGATCATCAATATAACTAGGGGATCATCACTATAACTAGGGGGTCATCACTATAACTAGAGGGTCATAACTATAACTAGGGGATCATCACTATAACTAGAGGATCATCAATATAACTAGGGGATCATCAATATAACTAGGGGATCATCACTATAACTAGAGGATCATCAATATAACTAGGGGATCATCACTATAACTAGGGGGTCATCACTATAACTAGAGGGTCATAACTATAACTAGAGGAACATCAATATAACTAGGGGATCATCACTATAACTAGAGGGTCATAACTATAACTAGAGGTACATCAATATAACTAGGGGATCATCACTTTAACTAAGGGATCATCACTTTAACTAGAGGATCATCACTATAACTAGGGGATCATCACTATAACTAGAGGATCATCACTATAACTAGAGGATCATCACTATAAGTAGGGGATCATCACTATAACTAGAGGATCATCACTATAACTAGAGGTACATCAATATAACTAGGGGATCATCACTTTAACTAAGGGATCATCACTTTAACTAGAGGATCATCACTATAACTAGGGGATTATCACTATAACTAGAGGATCATCACTATAACTAGGGGATCATCACTATAACTAGGGGATCATCACTATAACTAGAGGATCATCACTATAACTAGGGGATAATTACTTTAACTAAGGGATCGTCACTATAACTAGA